TACTTGCATTGTTTCTATAGCGCAATTATAGCAATCTTTAAGTTTACTTTTCATTACAAATATTTGTCAAGTTTTGTTTCAGAAACATTTTTCCTACTTTCTTGCACATGCGCCCAGACACACTACAAAAAAATTCATTCATAACACAGTAAGGGCAAACATTACTCATGTAAACATCTTCCATTAATTTCCCATAATTAAAAAAAATCATAGAATTATAGATATTGAATAAGGCTCATAGATTTAGTTCAAATTTCACAAAAGACCAAGGATTTTTTTTTTGAACTGTGATATGGTTGACTTTTGGTTACAATCAAGGCTGAAAGCATAACCCATGGCTTCCATTCTGTAAACATACCTCACAACCCAATAAATGCATTTTAGGATGGGAAGAGAACATAGAAAACTCAGGAGGAAAAACATTTGAAGAAGGGAGCTAGAAATCATGGACATAACTTCATAACTTTCTTATGCAACCACCAGGCATGACATACATAGTCCCTGTAGTATCAAGGGTAATTATAGAAACCAAGGAGAGGGGTAGATTCACTGGCTCAGTGTTCATATTGCTAGTGTACACAGTGAAATTTTGTCAGATTATTGTTTCATTATATCCAGGACCAAAGGTGAGTTGGGGGAACACACGAGTGGCCTATCATTGTTAAAGGATTTTTTGTTTTGTTTTGTTTTCCTTCCCAGTAGTGTCGGAAGAGTTGGGAGGTATGTGTTAGGTACATGAATGGTCTTCATATTAAAATGACATTTAACAACTGTGTGTAAAGTCACAGACAGGAATCAAGGGTTTCCATTATCCGAGGAAGTCTCCCTCTCTGGTGAAGTCGGGTGCTTGGATGCATAGTCTTCCAGAGCTGAGACAGGATACGGACTGTGCTGAGAATGGCCCCCCCACCAGCGGCTGCCCGCCCTCTCTGGGAGAGGGAGGGCAGAAGGCAAAAAGCATTGGTAAATCTGTGAAGTCCCACCCCGGGGTTTGGACCCCAACTCCACTGAGGGTAGCCTCCCTGACATTGTGACTAGGCAGTTAGGGGTGGCGAGTGAAGGTGGCCGGGAAACCCTGTTCTGAGGTCCACACGGCCAAGTCTGGTTTCTGATTCTGTTGCCCTGCAAAGAAATTGTGCTCCAATAACTGCACCTTTGTCTCTAATGCCTTGATTCCCTCCCAGGCCCCTGGGAGGCCTGCAGGGAATCACTAAAAGGTAAACACACCTCCATTAGCACCGAACTTACCACCAGAAAGCGGCTGAGGCACTGGGGAAGCCTACCTCACATCAGACACCACCCCGCCAGGAGGTGGTCGCCAATCAGAGGGCTTTGTAGGCTTTTGATTTCTAAAAATGAAAATTGATCTGCATTATATCTCAATAGACTCAGATAATTCTCACCAAAATTTTTGTCATGTGTTTAAATAGTACTGGAATAATTCAACTTCATTTAAATATATTCATTCTACCATGAAAATATTTCATACAAACATCTATTTACATACAAACACATTAAAATTTGTGAAAAGGGTTTCCACCCCTGTGGCTGTATGGCTTGAAATAGTTTCATTGCTTTGAATATGTATGCACACATTTGGCAAATAAAATTTTTAAAATTTAGTACTTTTGAAAACAAAACAAAACAAAAAAAACACACCAAAACCCCAAACAACCACCCCCCCCCCAGAATGCCACAAGAAACCCTAAAACAAAATAAAACAAAACAAAAACCCTGACACCAAGGTGTAAAATTGCTGAAGGGAAAAAAAAAAATCCAAGGTATGGGTTGGGGAATCAATCAAAGTGCCTGAAAATTGAATATATTTTGTGAACCTTTGATCTGCAGCAAAGAAACATCACAACTATCCATCTTGCAACACAGTTTTACTTGTTTGTCTAAAACAAAAGATGTCTGGATTCTAAATCACTACTCTGAAGACAGAACTTGAAGTGGCTGTTGGAGAACAAATAAAATCCAGATTATTTTTGACTTTCTTGGAAGATTTTGAAGTGAGAAATTTAGATTTTTAAAAATCTATTAAGTGAAGATTAATAAAAGGGCCATATACTGTCTCACTAAGACAAACTTTTGATTCAATGTTCATAATTGACCCCCCCCCAGCATTAGGGATGTAATCCAAGGCTTCTAGTTGCTAGGGAAATGTTGGACCACTGAGCTGTATCTACTCAGTTCAATGCAATTTTAATTGTCACAATTAAATGTTGTAAATGGTTACATAGCCTTGTCAGTGTGTGTGTGTGTGTGTGTGTGTGTGTGTGTGTGTGAATGTGTGTGTTTGATGATAAGGAAATAGTTTTTCAAGTGTGATGAATCCCAAAGGGTAATGAATCTGAACTCTAGTCCCAGTAAGGTTCAAAGTGGTCTTGACAAAAAAAATTCCTTCTTAGTTACTAGGGGAGATCTGGAATCAAGCAGGTTAAAATAAGAATAGGTACTTAGAAACTCAGGTCCTCTCTACCTGTGTTATCTTTTAGCTTCATCATTTTTTTGTGTTCTAAATTCAGTCCTTACATTTGCTTGTTAGTTCGAACGAATGCCCCACACGGGGACATGCTCTGTAGATTAGTTCCTATTCCTAAGTCTAACACAAGGTAAACAGTTCATCATAGAAAAGATGCTAATGACCATGCAGGGTTGAACTGAGACAGCTCCGAATGAATCCCCTGGAGACCATGGCTTCAGTGGAGGGAGGGCACAGGCTCCAGCTGTTTGGAAGACAACAGGAGGGTAATTCTTTTTTCCCTACCACATAGACTCTCAATCACCTCTGTTTATGATTTTGATCATGATGGAAGACCAGATTTGCCTGCTTCCTATTTCCTTTTACAACAGATGTGAAGTAGAAGGTGCATTCTGAGGCTTTTCCACTTTGGGCCAAATGAGGAACAAACCCCAAGCCCCTTCAGTAGTTAATTCTCTATGCAACTTCTACCCTGCTGACATCTCTACCTGTACAATGACCCTTGGGTCCCTTTAACAGTTCCTGAGACAAAGCCGGCTATCTTGGGGAGGGGGCAAACAGAATGACTGGAATGGGTCACACTCAGGGAAAGGCTCAAAGCCAGGGTAGCAAGAGAGGAGAGGAACTCAAGACATAAAGAGGCGGAACAATCACCTGGGCTGCCATTCTGCACAGACTCCAAGGCTTCTCACATAGCAGAAGAAAGAGAGCTGAAAGACACAGGAAACACACAGGGCGAAGGAAGACAGAGAGGCTCAGCTGTGTGAACTATTCCCTGTGATTTGTCTAAGAGTCACGTACACAGCACTGGGCTTGAAGCCCAGGCTGTTTTCCTCCAGTATGGAATGTGAAATGTAGATTAGCTAGCTACAGTTCTTCAATCCATTATATATTTTAAAAAGAAGATTTATTTTTTGTGCGTGGGTCCATGCATGCTATACTCTGTGTGGCAGAAGACAGCTTTCACGAGTTGGCACTCTCCTTCTGCTATGGAGGTCCTAGAGATGAAACTCGATCATAAGCTTAGCAACAAGCACCTTTACCTGCTAAACTATTTTGCTGGCCCTCAAGCCCCCCAACTTTGTTTTTGAGTTCCATTTGAATGAGATTGCTAGAGTAGCCCTTTAGGATAGAAGTTGAACCCCCCACATCAACTGAGACTAGGTTCCATCTCCAGGTGTGGGCACACCATCCAAGGTGGGACTTGCCCTCTCTCCCTCTGCCTTATCTCTTGACCTAGCCCAACAGCGTGACTGATGGAGCTGAAGAAAAGCAGAAAAGCCATCTTTCTCCCTAAGGCAGCCAACTCTCTTTGGACACATTTACATGAAAGCACCTCTCAGAATTCTAATCCAGAGACCCCCATCCTTCTGTCACAGTTTACTGAATGGTCTCTTTCCGAAGAATAGAAGCAATCCTATCCATCCTGGTGACTTGTTGTCTAAAACCGATTCAGTTGTCTTTCAGGAAGACATCCTCAGAAGTCCTGAGGATGTTTCTCCTGAGCAAATTATTTTCTTAAGCTTTCAAACAGGGATGTGGCCAGCTCTCCTGGAAAGTACCTCCACCTAGGTGCAGAGCCTGGAGCTGGTGTGTCGGGAAGCTTGTAAAAGAGCCTAGGGCGTGGCTATCATAGCTGAGGGCAGAGACCTCCATTCTGGGGTTGTTCAATGGGCAAACCGTGTGCAGTCCCAGATGGAACACCTGTGAAAGCTGTTGTTACAAGCAATGTGCAACTGACAAAAAAAAAAAAAAAAAAAAAAAAAAAAAAAAAAAAGCAACCTGCCCTCTACCTGTCCCTTCTCTCCATTTCCACCTACTCGTGACAAGCATCTCTATACATTCTGAGCTCCCTCAAAAGCCTAAACCCATCCAGGCCACAGGTAGCCCTAGTGGCAGGCTTCAGCAACTGTTGTCCCCAGGCTTTCTGGTGATGGAGCGACACCCTGGGGGAGGAGTCCCCCAAATCCAGCATTCATTCAGAGCAATCCAGTTAGGTTACAGATTTAATGTGCTAAACTAAAAGAGTGGGCTTTTCTCTGTACTCCTGCAGTTGTGATTACATATGGCTTGTGCGGTGGCAATATGCTATTGATAGAAACTGCGCAGGTGTGAACTTGTGGCTTACAGAGCCTGGAAGCAGTTAAGTGCTAGGAGATCACTGTGGTGGACTGTGGTGGTGAGAAGCTTAGCTACAGATCTGATTTACACCCAGTGATCAGCATGTCTGTCTTCCTGGCACTGATTTTAAAGAGAATTCTGCATTCTGTGTTGGAATGCACATTGACTATCTTATTTTGAATTCCATGAGCTGTGTCACAAGCCAGACTGCACTAGGTTATGTACAATGAATGTGTACCCTAGGAGAAAAAATTGCCAGTACTACTAAATATACTGCAAAATTGCCACAATGACTGCTTAGAAAGACTAATTTTCCTCTCTTCTTCCTGAAAGTCTATCTTACAACTCTTTTGTAACTTAATGCAAACAAAGCAGATTCATTTCTTCTCACATCTGAAAGCAAAGATATCTTTGTTTACATGCGAGAATAATAAGTCTATAATAACAGTCTGGCCCTATGAGCCAGTTCTTTATATCAGGACATAAGAATGAAATGATAGAGAAAGAACCAGAGAGACCTGTACACTGCTATGAATGGAAAATCCGTTTGGAAGCTTTCTCTTGTAAAGGATAGCTAAGATAGGGAGTGAGGCTAGAGAAAAGACTCAAAGGACTGGGCTTCGGTTCACTAGAAGAGTAACAACAAAAACAAAGCCATTCTATCGCAAGATACAGATCAAAGGTTAAAAGGCAAATGACCCTACATTTATATAAAGATGTAATCGCTTCCAACCCTGCAGGTGGCAACATGCAAGGGTGATTGAACACCATTTGCAATGGCCATAGAAAACACATCATGGAAAAAAAACCATCGATGGAAAATGACTGAAGAATCCCATTTCCCTTTTTCAGCCTAATCATTTGGTATCTCTGAACGTGGTCCAGATTTAGACTGCAACCATCAAAGAACATCATGCTGTCTACAGTTTGACAGTACCTCTCAGTAGGGCGTTGCTGCAAGGCTAGCTAATTTTAAATCTGATATGAGTAATACAGTCAAACCTAGTTAGTATGCGAGAAAGTCGTTGCTAACGCGGGGTGAGAGGATGTGATGTCACAGCATGAACAGTCCCTGGTTGTCCCGTTGTCAGATAAATGTAGTGCATAGATCCAAGTTTCTATTCCAGGTCTCCAGACCCCAGGGCCAGGTCTCTCACTTTTGCTGGGTGGCCTGGAAGGCCTTCAGCTCCACCTGGTACCATTCAGGGGCTTCGGGCCCGCTCTTCCCTGGTGGGCTGTGGTCATAGCCATAGGCAACGGTCAGCTCTTCCTCAGCTTCCACGGCTCTCAGGGTGCGGATGCACTTGATAGGCCCAAAGCGAGGGTGGACAAACCTAGACATCAAGACGAGAAAGGTCATTATGGTGCCAAGATGGGACCTCAGTGGCAAAGAGGAGCATCTTGTCCACAGACACTGGTTGGGCATCACTCCTGTGTTCTCAGAGTATGGGTACAGTTCTGCTGGAGCTTGTAAGAGGCCCCAGCCCCAGATGCACTGGGTTAGAACACTACAGCAGGCTGGAGATGTAGCTCAGTTGGTAGAGTGCTGACTTAGCATTCTTGGGGTCCCTCAGTATTTCATAAACCAGGAATGGTGGTATATGCCTGACATCAGGGCACTTAGGAGGTGGGGCAGGAGAATCAGAAATGCAAGTTATCCTTGGCTTCATAATGAGTTTGAAGCCAACCTGGGATATATAATATCCTGTCTTAAAAATAAACCCAAAATCCCACAGAACACCCCAGACAGTGCACTGGCCTTGTCATATTTTATTTACTGTATTCATTTGTGTGTGTGTGTGTGTGTGTGTGTGTGTGTGTGTGTGTGCGTGCGCGCGTGTGTGTGTGTGCACAACATGATGCCACAGCACACGTTGGGGTCAGAGGACAACTTGCAGAAGTTGGTCCTTTCATTCTACTATATGGGTCCTGGGGATCAAACTCAGGTCTTCAGGCTTGATGACAAATTCCTCTACCTGTGGAGCCATTTTGCTAGACCCTGTCTGCATTTAGAGCCCCATGACGAATGTAAGACAGAGGTCACATCAGTTGGGAAGGAGCCAGCTTTAAATCAGATTGGTCTCTGTGGCCTGACGGGGCTAAGCATTTGGCTGTCTCCTCTGTTTGTGGAGGTAAGTGCCCTGACCATGCACTCAGGAATTCTTTGTTATTGGCTGAGGATATAGCTAGTGGTAGAGTACTTGCCTGGCATGTAGAAAGCCCTGGCTTTGATTGCCAGCACCACAAGATCACTATTCTGTATGTGTGCATATATGTACTTATACATGCATGTAGGTGTGTATCATCTATCTACTTACCTATCTATCTCATCTACCTGTGTATCTGTCTATAAACAGGTGTGATAATGTGAATGAAAATGGCTCCCATAGGCTCACAGGGAGTGACACTATTGGGAGATGTGGCCTTGTTGGAGAAAGTATATCAATGGGGTTTCAGAAGCCCAAGCCAGGCACAGTGTCTCTCTCTTCCTGCTGCATGTGAAATGAATGTGGAACTCTGAGCTGTCTCTCCAGCACCATGTCTACCTACATGCTGCCATGCTTTCTGCCGTGATGACAATGAACTAAACCTCTGAACCATAAGCCAGCTCCAATGAAATGTTTTCCTTTGTAAGATTTGCCATGGTCGTGGTGTTTCTTCACAGCAATAGAAACCCTAAGACAGAAGTGTATTATACTGTGTAGCTCTGGCTTGCCGGGAACTCACTAGGTAAACCAGGCTAGCTTTGAACACAGAGAGATTCACCTGCCTCTGCCTCCTGAGTGCCAAGATTAAAGACTTGAACTATCATGCCAGGCAGTTTTGTCTTTAAGTTGCCATGCTTCCTTATAATTGGTATGATATGATTTCAGTATGAAAATTAAATACTGTTCCTGAAATGGAGCGTTGATTAACTTTCTAGAAGATCTGCTGGGGTGGGGGAGGGGAGTCTGGTGTTGAAATTTGGGGCTTAAGACTTCTTTTCCAATGTTCTTGTAGCTTTATTCTCATGTTCATTGTCACTGGCTTCTTTTCATTGTGATGTGTTTTTTGTTGTTGTTTATTTTTGAATTTAATTATATATTTTGTTTTGTTATGTTTTTTCAAGACGGTGTTTCTCTGTGTGACCAGGCTGGCCTCAAACTCAAGATCCACCTGCCTCTGCCTCCCAGTGCTGGGATTAAGGAACTCATTCTCCTGCCTCTGGAGCTGGGGTTACAGGTAGGCATATCATCAGTTTGAATAGACAGAATAAAAAGAAAGAACTTGGTTTCAGGTGTTAAGGCTTGCCCAGGGCAATGGGTGTACACTGCCCTGGACCACTCTGTCTCCAGAGCTGAGGCCTGCCTGACTAGGAGTTCCTGAGGACTGAGATAAAACATGGAAGGCATCCAGAGTAGGGCTAGGGTACACAGGCAGAGTATGAATTTAGCATGTGTGAGGTCCTGGGTTCTATCTCTAACACAAGGAAGGAAGAAGAGAAGGAAGGAATGAGGGGAGGTAGGGAGAGCAGGACCCAGAATGAATGCTCAGAGGCCATGGCTATGGAAGTAGCAATGACCCCAAACCTGTGGGACCTTAGTTGACACATTACTATATTTACAGGTAGGGAAGTACTTGTGTGATTGTTCGCTGGGCACTTCATGCCAGCCTTCAGTGAAAGCAGCATGGAGAAATGCTGTTTCACTTATATTAATGCATACATTAACGCCAGTGACTTGAGGAAATATACATTTGGTTATTATTCAAGGAGTCATCACCCCACATAACTGAATTTTGGCCATGCTGAGCTTGCAAAACAATATACTAACAACAAAAGAAAGAAAACAGCCAGGCAGTAGAGGTATATGCCTTTAATCCCAGCATCCAGGAGGCAGGATCTCTGAGTCTGGGGCCAGCCTGTCCTACAAAGCAAGTTCCAGGACAGCCAGGGCTACACAGAGAAACCCTGTCTCGAACTTCCCCCCAAACAAACAAGCAGACAAGCAAACAACCAACCCCCCCCCCACCATCACCACCATAGAAAACAAACCAAAAAACCAAAAATAAAGCCTGCTGAGCAGAAACTGGTTTTGTACAACAAAAACTTCTCTTGTTTCCAGTTCTTTATTGCATTTGGGGGAAAAGCTGTCCTTGCAATGAAGTCACAGACAGGGTTGATTCGAATGAGGGGTCTGAGGATGGTTAGTTACAGGTATTAAGAGACCGTTGTTATGCCAGCACAGCTGAGAAGGAGCGTTAGCCAAATGCACACTAGCTGTGAAAGTCCTGCAGCCAATAACAGTGTCAGTTTCATCTCACAGGACACATGTCCTTGGCCATTTCAGCCAGCCCTTTAGAAGCAGCTGGAGCACCATTGCTTATTATTGGCTGCCAAGGAGAGCTAGTCACTGCCAGGACCATCTCAAGGACGAGTCTCAGGACATTTCCCATCAAGCTCCAGATCCTGGCAAGGTCTCAGATGGAATGCCCAGAGTGTGATCTTGCACAGAAGAGGGCTGAAGCTACTGCACCAAGCAGGGAAGAGATGCTCTATGACCACGCTACACTGCCATGTCTATTATGTGTGTGCACATGTGTATGCAGGTATGTCTGCACCAGTGTGTGCTGTGTGCATGCGTGTGTATGCGCGTGTGCACGTGTGTGTGTGTGTGTGTGTGTGTGTGTGTGTGTGTGTGTGTATATAGGCTAAAGGATAACTTCAGGTGGGGTCCTCAAACAGCATCCACCTTGGTTTGGGGACTGGGTCTCTCACTGTCTTGGAACTTCCTGGTTAGGCTGGCTGGCCAGTGGCCCAGGGAATCGTCCTGTTTCTGCCTCCTCAGTGCTCAGATTCTAACTGCCCTTTCCCACACTCAGCTTTTTATGTAGATGCTGGGTGGGGACTGAACTCAGGTCTTTATGCTGGTGCAGCAAACACTTGAATGATAACTCCTCCTTCCCTCCCCAGTCCTGCAATGTGATAAGGACAGCGATAAACAGCTACCATATTTCTATAACAGTTTTACTTTTGAAATTGCCTTTTCATCTTGCAGCTGGAAAGCAGGTCGTTTAGATATTGAACCTTAAATGACAAGGCTGAGGCTCATGGCAAAAGGACCACTTTTCCCATGTCACCCTGGGTCCTGGGCCCCTAGGCATAGATCCATCCAGTCACTAGCATCTACTTACATGTCATAGATGCAGTTTGGAGTGAAGGAGTGATTCGCCTTGTGTCCCAGTGAGGCACAGTACTTGGATACGTGGTTATAGGGCTCAGGCACATCAATGACTGTCTCCTCATCAAGGGAGAGAGTGTTCCCATTCAGGGCCCAGTCTCTGCTGTCAACCTGCAGAACACAGGGAAGTGGTGCTCGAGACCGCCTTTCTCACAGAAGCCCAAAGCACGGCAGAAGCCCTAGCTCACTTATCTTAGCACTTCATCGTTTGAGCACTGCAGACATGAAAGCCAGCCAAGACATCTTCCCCCACAAGGATGGTGCAACCAGACAGCTCAACTTACTGCTTATTGTATTTTCCTCGTTTTATATAGAAGAAAGGGTTTTGATTCTTTACAAAGACACACAAAAATATCAGAAAAACTTGAACTAAAAATAAATGAAGAACAGGCAGTTGAGATGGCTCAGTGCGTTCAGTTGCTAACTACCAAGACTGATGGACTGAGTGTTCAGTCCATAGAACCCACATGGTCAGAGGAGAGAACTGGCCCCTGGAAGTTGTCCTCTGACCTCTGCTCTTGATCCTCCAAATAAACAAATAAATAAATAAATATTTTGTTTTCTTGTTTTATTCCCCGAGAGAGAGTTTCTTTGTATAGTTCTGGCTGCCCTGGAACTCACTCTGTAGACCAGGCTGGCCTTGAACTTGGAGATCTGTGTGTCTCTGCCTCCCGAGTGCTGGGATTAAATGTGTGCGCACCAAAGCCTGGCCATTTTGTTTTATTTTTAAACTTGATTGTTTGGCTCACAAACATGAATTGTAGATGACTGTCGCACTGTCAGGAGGTTGAAAACGCCTGCTAGATTCACAAGTTCTACAAAATCATGATCCTTTTAATAAGAGCCATTAGGCTATTCTGCTCACCTCCCAATATCCAGAGCAATACAAAGAAACCCTGCCTTGAAAAACCACAAAAAATAAAATAAAAATAAAAAATAAATAAAATAAATAAAACAAAACAATCTCTCTTAAGTTTTCAGTAAACTCACAACTTTGTGTTAGGCTATGTCTGTAGTTATCCTTGGCCCTATGTAGCCTGTGGTTCCCAGGACGGACAACTCTCCTAAATAAACCAACCCTTCCTCCTATACATTACATTTATGTGTGACACTGTTAATAAACTGGGTAGCTGCCACAGGTAGCCGTATCAAACGTGAGGAAGGTCCCTTTAGGTCTCATGTAACCACATAACTCTGATAGGCTGTATGGAGTGTTGTTTGCTTTAAGTTGCTACTAGGTGTATAGCGGAATGTAAACTTCACTGTGTGCACAGGGCATGAGAAGCACCACACAGCAGATGCTAGTCTTACTCAAACTGTACATCTCATGTGCTTGCGATCTTGGGCAAATTGCTCAATCTCTCTAGGTTTCCATTTTCTCATCTGCAAAGTGTCTGAATGAAGAAGCATGGTTTAATATTTACAAGTCCAGAACTGTAAGAAGCCACACCTGACCTCATTTGATAGGTCGTAGGCAAAATGCAGACACAATAAAACTATAGACTAACTGCCTCCCAGCAAAATTTCATTTTGACTAGGGTCCCATTCCTAAAACGATTATGAAAATTATGAAAATGCAAATGTTTAAAAACAGCAGATTCCTAACATTTTTGGTCCCAGGCATTTCAGATAAGGGGTGCTCCACCTGTAATACCCCCTTATTCCAAGGCTACCCTTCTCTGCTGAGTGTCTCGGGCCTTCGGGAGGGCTGGTGAAGTGCGGCCACCTGTGTGGATGCCATCTGCTCCACCTGAGCATTTTGTTGTCTTTTTCTCTGCCAAGTTGCTTTGAATGTGTGACTAATTGGAACATTTCGTGGAACATTCTCTTATTATCCACAGGAATAAGTGGCAAATGCGGAGGCTTGATTTGAGCTATCAGCCATGAGCCTGAGACCTGTGCATGTATTAAAAGTGTGACCATGATTGTGCTGGAGGTTGCAGACTTGCCCCTAAACAGACACCAAGGAGTCAGCTACAAGGTGAGGAAACTTAACCAGAGCTATGAAGCTCTAAAATATGCCAAAGACTGTGTCTTAAAGGCAGAAGATATGTTTGGGGAAGCCAGAGAGCAACTTCAGTGTCCCTCCCCAAGGATTCTCCATGTTTGCTCTGCCGTTAGTTAAACTCTCTTATCAATTACGTTGACATTCACCTCTTTCCACTTACCTCTTGGTGTGTAATTCGGACTCCATTATAAAAAGACATAACAGTATTGGGTCCCACTGCTACCTTGGAAAATAGTCCTTCTCCAGCACTGGAGATGAGAGAGTCGGCAACATAAACCCTAAAATAAATAAATAACATGTGAATTTTCCAGTGTGATGTGTCACCCTTGATGTCAATCACTAAAATTCCATTATGGTTACTAAATCCCAAATGACAGTTCTCAATTATTCAACAAAGAAGGAAGGGAGGGTGAGAAATTAAACCATAGTATGTTGGCAACAGTAATGGAAGAAATAACTATTATCTCTTTAAGAGTTGTATTCAAAATAAACTCCACCACCTCCTTTAGATGTGGTAACTGGCTCAGGGTATCTGCCTCAGACTTGCTCAATCAGGAACTTGTTCTTTTTTTTTTTTTTTTTTTGGAGACAGGATTTCTCCAGTAACCCTGACTGTTCTGGAACTCACAGCATCTGTCTCCTGTCTCTGTGTGACAGAGCCTGGTGACAACCACCTGGTGATAACTAGGGATTTCTTAACCTGCCCAGTTTTATGTGGTGTTGGAAATCAAATCTAGGACTTTGTGAATGCATTCTATCAACTGAGCTCCATCCCCAGGCCTCAAATGTCTTCTCCAGGGGTAGAGGGATGGCTGCTCTTCCAGCATCTACAATGGCATCTCACAACCATCTGTAACTTCAGTTCTAGGGGTCTCATAGCTGGATCTCATGGGGGCATTTCCTCAACTGAGGTTCGTTCCTCTTTGATGACTTTAGCCTGTGTCAAACTGACCCACAAACCAGCCAGCACAGTACTTGATATTCCTTTTTAAAAAGAAGCTAGTGTTTATAGTTAATGACAAGAAAACATTTCCCAAAGTTTACTAACTCTGTGCTCAAATGTCTCAGATGACAGAGGAAGACTTGTTTAGTTAAATGCCAAGATATTTATACAAAATGACAATTAATGAGATATATCCAACAAGCATTTCTCAACAAAGGGGTTAAAGTAGAGGTTAGCTAACTACAGGTCAAATCTGACTGCTCCCCATTTTTGTTGATAAAGTTTTACTGAGGCAAAAGTTTTACTGATACATAGCTGCCTTCCCCAGTTTGTTTAAGACTGGCAAAGGAAGAGGCTGAGTCTGTGCAATAGATAACATAGGGTCTGGAGGCTCCCAAATTGTTACTTGATGTTCTTCCACAGAAAAAGGTTCCTAAACACTGCTTTATAAGAAAAGCATTCTGCCAGGTGGTGGCGCACACCTTTAATCCTAGTACTCAGGAGGCAGAGGCTGGTGGATCTGTGAGTTTGAGGACAGTCTGGTCTACAGAGTGAGTTCCATTACAGGCCCCAAAGCTACACAGAGAAACCCTGTCTCAACCTCCCCCTTAACTCCCCCACCAAAGAAAGAAAAGTGATGGGAGATGTCATTCTGTAAATATGTTTCTCTTATTGGTTAATGAATAAAGCCCTGTTGGCCAATAGGAAAGCAAGGTAGGCAGGACTAGGAGACAAGGAGGATTCTGGGAATTGTAGTGGGAGATTCAAAATGTAGAGACTTGAGAGAGAAGAGGTCCGGACCCTCTCTCTGGTAAGATAAGACCACATGGAAACACTTAGATTGATAGAAATGGGTTAATATTTAAGACAGAGCTAGCCAATAAGAAACTCTAGTAACAGGCCAACAACTTTATATCTAATACAGCGTCTCTATGTGTTATTTGGGACTCAAGTGGCTTTGGGACCAGGCTGGCGGGAAAACTACTCGTAACAAAATGGCACCTACAATGTGGGTACTAAGAACTTCCACTTAAAACTTGACAAAAGCTAAAAGGATTTTAAAACCAAAATAACAGAGACAAACAAGTCTTCTTGGTAGCAACATTTTCCTCGGTTGGGCTCTGTTTTGCTAGAGACAAAAGAGACTCGTGTGACTCCTTTAAGGGAGGTTTCCTGACTCAGCATAAGTGACAAACCCTACTAACAATTGGTGTGCACGAGGGCTGGCAATGGCAGTGATCACATCTCCAAGCTGGCAGCATGCTGCTGGATGGCAGTGTAGACCAAGGTGGTGAGCACAGCTCTCAGTGCTGGTGGTAAATGTACCCCCGACATTTTGGATAGACTGTAGCTAAAACAGCTGTGGCTTTCATTTTAGCAATGTTGTTTAGAAGATAAAAGATTCCTGGCCAGAAAAAGATAAAGATTTACAGTAAAGACAGATCCTTGGCTGTGGAATGGAGGTAATTAGACCTTATGTTCCCCCATCAAATCTTGCATCCCTTCATTTCTTCCTGCACTATGATGATGAGGTGGGCATCTGTAATTTTGGCTTATTTTATGGACTGGAAATCTGAATTATTGCTTCTAATTCTGCTCCTCTCTAGTGATAGAATGATACATGTTACTCTTTTGCCAGGTGACCTCATGACACTTCCTTCCGTGCACGTGGGTCATACATCCCCACCATGCTGACTTTGCCAGCAGAACATGGAAGAGGGCTCTGCTGCTGGGTCTCAGATGTTAAGAGACATGGCAAGTTTTTGCCTGTCTCTGCCAGTTTCTATTGTCTCCAGGAGAAGACTATACCTGGGAGCTGTTGTTTCTTTAGCCAGAGTCTTGGAATGAAGAGATGTGAAACAGACCTGAACCCAACTTGAATCCTGGAGCCCAGCCTAGTCCAGCTGAGCCTGGTGAAACCCAAGTAAAAATGGCTGAACCTAAGCCAACTCACAGAACCATGAGTATAACACAAAACACTGGCCTCTGTAAACAGCAAAGCTGTTTGAGAGTATTGTTATGCAGGATTTCACAACAGACTAGATTGATAGATACGGTTGGCCCTGTGGTGTTTTGGGGCAAACACAGAAGCTACTCTACACCCACTGGCCCTGAGCCAGAACCTCTCTTTAAAAATGAGGACATTCTCTCCCTGCCTGTGGCACTGTGGGATCAGTGCTGTCATATAGACCAGGCAGAGGCTTGTTTCTCAGATGGGAGCAGAAAGTAAACAAGAAGTAAGCCACGCCCCCTGGGGGCTGTACTTACTCAGGAGACCAGTAGAAAGAGAATAAGGAGAATTCTGGGCACTGAGAATCCACACTAGAGGGCAGCCATCCTTATAGGTTAGTTATGGAAAGGACAGACCTGACACGGAGGGATGCTTTTATGCTTGCCCTTATGAATAAACAAGCTTCTTTATATTCCAATGGTCAGGCTGTAGAGAAAGGGAGTTGTGCTGGAGGTGTAGGCTAGGCTTGAAAGACCTTTATGTTCCAGGGGTCAGGCTATACAGAAAGGGAGTTGTGCTGGAGGTGTAGGCTAGGCTTGAAAGAGCTTTATGTTCCAGGGGTCAGGCTATACAGAAAGGGAGTTGTGCTGGAGGTGTAGGCTAGGCCTGAAAGAACAAGGGTTGCTCCCCCAGAGGATTACAACATCAAGAACCCTGAGAGGGTCTGGAAGATGGCTTGGTGGGCAAAGGAGCCTGCTTGCAAGCTTGAGCCTTTCCCACATGGTAGAAGGGGAAAAAATGATTTAAACGTTGTTCTCTGATTTCTACATGCATGCTTCCCCAACCTCCCAAAGTCCTGAGAAAGGGTGTGACTGTCTGACCCAAAGCTTTACCTAGAGAGGTCATTCTAGGACGAAACACAAACCTGCTTGATAATGTAGAAACCTTCTGTGGACAGCTTCTATATAAAAATATAGTAAGTCTTCCTCAGAATACACAAATACTTCCTCAGAATACACAAATACTTCCTTGGAAGTGTGCCAAGGAAAAGTATTCATTACGGAGGGGTTTGGCTTGAGCAGGAGCCCAGCCTGATCAGAGAGCCGCAGAAGCTCAAGAGTGACCACCACCGGGGCATAAACAGTACAATGATTGCCACAAGGAAAGAGTTACCTCTCGGACTCATAAGGATCTGGAAGGAGGGCATCACTAGAGATGCAGGAGGAAGTCGATTTATCAAAGTGGTACACGGAACCTAAAAGGCAAACCAACATGTCAGTTTAGGTGCAGACGTGAGTTCCCAGCCACAGCATCAACCAAACAATCACAGGCACCATTCTGGTTATGCCAACTAGATCAGCAAAGTGGGCATTTGCCAGGTTTACTCTTTGATTATGTTTTCAAATCTCACCCCTTTTCTCTTTCCTTAGTGAGCTAGGTTCTTCCCGAGTTGCCCAGCCTGGCTTCTGGGCTGGGATTGCAGGCCCACATTTACTAGAACTCGTTTATTTAAGTTTTAATGTGTCACCACCAGACTTAACTCTTAAGATTCCTATTTGTTGATTTTCTTTTATTCAAATGTCTTGAAATATTCTTGTGTACTTAAAACTTTAAACAAAACGTGGTGTCACCCAATTTTCAGATTTCTCTGGTCAGAATACTCTGAACCTTGGTTTTTAAATTTCCTTGAAGTTTCTTCATACCGGACAGTAAAACATACAACCGAGCTCAGAAGGTGACTCCTTCAGTGAGAGTAAACTTGGCCTCACAGAAGTATGGAGAACAATGTTACTCTCCATGCCACAATAAGAGTCATTTGACACCAATAAATAAATAAATAAATAAATAAAGCCAGGCATTGGTGGTGCACAACTTTGATCCCAGCACTCGGGAGGCAGAGGCAGGGTGATCTCTGAGTTCAAGGCCAGCTGGTCTACAGAGGAAGTTTCATGATTATCCGGGCTACACAAAGAAACCCTGTCTCAAAAAATAAAACAAAACAAAAAATAAAACTATTGTAATGGGCTAGAGAGATGACTCAGTGGTTAAGAGCTCTTCTAGAGGACCTGGTACCCATTTCTATTCCCAGCATCCAATTGACAGCTCACATCTGATTGTCACTCCAGTTTCAGGGGATCCAACGCCCTGTTCTGGTCTCTGTGGGCACCAGGCATCTTTGACAGTCATCTCCGAATTTGCCACTATTTACTTGCTGGTGAGGCATAGTGGAACAGCAGGGGTTTAATTTAATTTTTAAAAAGAACTTCATTTTAGGATTAAATGAATTAATTTATACATGTGTCTCTGTGTTGGTATGAATGCCAGCACTATTGTGTGTGAAGATGACCTCTAAGGTTTTGTCCTCAGGTTCTGTTCACTTTGGTTATTTTATTTTGTTTTTTTTGAGACAGGTTTTTCTCTGTGTAGCCCTGGCTGTAGACCAGAGATCTGCCTGCCACTGCCTGCTGAGTGGGATTAAATGTGTACATTACCACAGCTCAGCCACCTTGTTTTTAGAGACAGGGTCTCTCAGCCTGTGGCTGGCCACCAGGCTCCAGGGATTTCCAGTGCCGTGGACATAGGTTTTAGAGACTAAACCCTGGCCTTTATGATTAGATGGTGAGCATTTTGTTGACTGAACTATCTCCCTAGGCCCTGGAATAACAGTAAATACACAGAAAAATACAAAGAAAGAAATACTGTTCCCACTGTTTCTCCTAAAGGTAACTTTTAAGAAGGGTTTCACATTCATTGTGTGTGTTCATGCATATGTGTGTTCACATACATGCATGCATGCTCTGTGTATGTGTGTGTGTGATGCATGTGTGAGGTCAGAGGTCAGCTTTCAGGAGTTGACTCCTCATTCACTATGTAGGTCCCTGAGAGTGAACTCAGGTTATCAGCCTTTGAATCAAGATCCTACAGCTGAAGAGCAATCTCCAGCTTAATCAGCTATAAAGTTTATATAGATTTTGAAGTCTTTCTCATTTGATTCTTACATAAAAATGATGGCTCCATGTTTTAGAGAGAGAGAGAGACAATGTTTTCATTGCCTGACACTGGTTTCATTGCCTGTCATTTCTTAGTCCTGTACCTTCTTAGAGTCACCCATGGATGCCTTCTCAGGGGACTTCTTAGCATCCCCCACTGAAGCACGTACTATACTTTCTCTGTCTCACACTTGGGGGGCTTTGTCATGTAACTTGCAACATAAATGGGGGAAGTTCCAGGGTGAGGCTTCAGGAGGCACAACTGATATCTGTTTATGTGCTGACACATCTGTGGTCCATGGTCCATTATGAGAAAACACTGCCCAAAGCCTCTGTGCCTTCAGAGGGGCCCAGGGTAAAACACAGACCAGCTTAGACTAGCTGAACCTAGGGATGCAGCAGACCTGTTTATGCTGCCATAAACAGGGAGGAGCTGAGGGGTCTGGGTTTTTTTTGTTTTGTTAAAATGGGCTCCACAGAGAAAAAAGGAACCCTTTTTGAAGGGTGATGGTGGTGCACACCTTTAATTCCAGCACTAGGGAAACACAGGCAGGGAGTTCTCTGTGAGTTCAAGGCCAGCCTGGTGTACAGAGTGAGTTCCAAGATAACCTGGGCTACACAGAGAAACCCTGTCTTGAAAAACAAATCAAAAAGAGGGGGAAGGAGAAGGGGAAGGAGGAAGAGGAGGAGGAGGAGAAGGAGAAACTTCTTTAATCTGTCACCCACTGGACAACTCACTTCCAGATGTCAGTTCAAAGTGTGGCCTCCCTTCTTCGGTGGCCATGAGGGTGGCCAGTTTCCCTTCAATCATCTCTCCATCAATAAATTTTCCATAGAGCGCAGTCCTCTGATCAGGGTAGACATAGGCTATCTTCTCTCCAGTCATCTCCCCATCTTCATTGACTTCCCCGACTAGGCTGCCTCCATCCTGGTGGGAGAAACCATAACCACGGATATTATGTAAAATATTCATCTATAGAGTGCAAGTTCAAGAAGTTTGTTTTCTGCAATGCCCCCCCCAGAAGAACACTGACAGTAATGGTGTAAGAATCCAGAGCTTTTGATAAGAGGGAGAGCTCCTTGTGCCTCTGCAGGTAGCTCCTCTGCCACAGGCAAACACACTTTTGGAATGTTCTATGCACTGGGACATGCATGCCTCATTTAGATGAGGAGACTGAAGTGTACCATTCTAGCTTGGTGTGTTATCTAAGAAACAAACACATTACACTCAGAACAGACTTGCATACAGTTAAGGGAAATATAATTAAGCACACACCTGTAATATGTTAAGGGAAATATATTACAGGATAACTATGTTACAAATATATTACAGCACACATCCTATAATCTTAGCACTATGGAGGCAGAGGTAAGCGGATCTCTAATTTCTGTGAGTTTGAGGCCAGCCTTATCTTTCCAGGGCATCCAGGACACATAGAAAGACAAACAAATAAAAGACAAACTTCAGTTAAAATGTACTTTCTTTTTTCTTTCTTTTTTTTGCAGTACTGGGGTAAACCCAGAGCCCAGGACCTTGTAGGATTGTATACGCTAAACACTCTCCCTCTGAGCCAAAGTATGCCTTTAAACGTACTTACGAATTAATTTGGTCTACCCGAGTAAAAATAGAATTGCTTGCATTTTCTAAGAGGTAAACAAAGGCCCTTGTCTTTCCACATAAGTTCTTTCTTTCATTCTTCACCTTCGGCTCTCCAGTCTCCCTCCCAGAGAAGAGCCAGCTAAGTCCTGCTCAGTGCCAAGGTCACAGGGTGTTATGTTCCTGTATGTGCGCATGTGTCTGCACGGGTGAGCACGAGCCGTGGCGCATGCGTGGAGGTCAGAGGACAACTTACAGAAGTCAGTTCTCTCCTCCCATCGGGTGGACCCCAGGGGACCGGTCATATAGCCAGGCTTAGTGCAGACACCCTTACTCCTCCCCCGGAAGTCTAAGTCCTTTGTGAGCTTGCTGAACAATTTGAAACCATGGCGCTTTAGATAGCTTGGTTCATGTCCTCACTCAAGTATCTGGGAACAGCTACTCAAGGCAGCAATTCGGGGTGACCCTCAGTGCTGCACACTGAGACAGGAATAAGTGACATTACACACGCACACAATTTGCATAGCTCGCCACCATAAACTAAATTTATAAGCTAAACTAAAATTCAGAACTTTTGAAGGAAAATCACAGCATTATTTTTCATGGCAGAAAGCGCAGTAGGGTGACAATTGTTCTTCTGAAGTTAATGCTTGCTGATGCGGTGTAAATGGGTATGATCTTTCTGTGTGATCTGCCTTCAAAGTGTTAGAACACATGTACTTCTTACATGCCATAACAAACAGAGGCCACCACATTCCTGCTCATTTGAAACGGAAGTCTGTGTTTAGGGCCTCTCACCTTTCCCCTCAAAAGTTGAATTTATTCCTTTGGACTGACAAAATAGAAATCCTTTGGTTTTCTAAAGGAGTTATGAATCTTTTAAAATAAAAAAAAGTGCATTGGAAATAAAAAATCAAAACAGAACAAAGGGGCGTAGCGGGGCTGCTGCTGCTGTGTTTGGTAAAGCCCTTGGCTAGCACGCACCAGGTCCTGGGTTTGAATCTCAGCACTACACAACCTGGGTGTGGTGGTGACACCTATAACCCCAGCATTTAGAGACGGGTCAGAGGTTTAGGGTCATCCTCAGCTACACAGCACAGTGAGACCAGCCTGGGCCACACAAGACAGTCTCAAAAACCAAAATATCAACAGCAAAACTTCTGTATCGCTGTTCTTAGAGTGATCCTATAAATGTGATAGGGAGAATGGTTCTGTTTTTCTTGCCGTATCACAAATGTGGCCCACCTGCTCTATCAAGGAGTATTGGGGAGAGGCCATTGCCTTGTTTCTTCTGCTCACTGGCTCCCCCTTTGGGAAGGAGGCGTCACTGTGATTGGTGAGAAGGCAGGTCACAGGCTTCCTCTGCTGGGTGGGGATTAACAAGATGAAGGCTGCTTGTCGTGTCCAGTCTCACTTTTCACCCTGTCCTGGGTTCCTAGGCACTTCCCTGTCAAACCCAGGAAGGCCCTTGCCCCTCAAGAGAAGCGTTTTCTTATGTATGCCGGCACACCGGAAGAGGGCATCAAATCTTATTATTGTGAGCCACCATATGGTTGCTAGGAATTGAACTTAGGGCCACTGGAAGAGCAGCCACTGCTCTTAACTGTTGAGCCATCTCTCCAGCCTGCTATAGAAAAACTTTAGCAGTGCTTTAACAGCAGGAGGGACCAAGAAGCCTCCACCATGCCTCCAATCCAAAGTTATTACAATGAAAACCAGCAACTCAGTCCCTGACACTAATGTCTATTTCCTTATTGATTCAGACTCCAGACAGCAGAGGGGTGCAATCAGCCCCTTCCACTGTCATCAGATACCACACTTACAGCAGGTGCCATCGACTATTCTGAAAGCTAGTTATTTCTCAATGCTTTCTTCCCAAGTGGTATTTGATCAGACCACAGGGAAAAATGTTCCTATAGCAGCTGATAGGCGCCTGTACTCCAGTGACTGGGCCCCACCTGTGTAGCTGCAGCAGTACTTATTGGACACAGGGTTATTAAAAGAGGGAGGGAGGGAGAGAGAGAGAGAGAGAGAGAGAGAGAGAGAGAGAGAGAGAGAGAGATGAGGTCAGGCAGCGGTGGCGCACGCCTTTAATCCCAGCATTCGGGAGGCAGAGATAGGTGGATCTCTGTGAGTTTGAAGCCAGCCTGGTCTACAGAGTGAGTTCCAGGTTCCAGGAAAGCCTCCAAAGCTAAAGAGAAATGCTGTCTTGAGAAAGAGAGAGAGAGAGAGAGAGAGAGAGAGAGAGAGAGGTGTGAGCTGACATGTTGGGAACACGGGGGGGGGGCGCCTGGGAAGCAGGGTTTGGGGGCATATGATGAAGGCATGTATGAAATTGTCAAAGAACACAAAACATTCTCTAAAAACGTCGCTGTATAAGTTTTAAAATTTGGCTCCAGTCAGTGAGATGAATGCAAGAAATGGCCTCAGTGTACCTTGGATCTCATACAGGACTTTGGTTGATCCTAGACAGAAGTAAAATGACAGGGCGTGGGAGTCTCTGGGAATTCCTGTTTCGTCTCTCTCTCATCCTCTGCCTACACAGGACTTCACTCCTTCTCTGACAACTTTCTCTCTCAAATGTCAGCAGCTCCCCAGCACAGGCAGCATGGTCTCAGCCTGGCCACTCAGGAAGCCCACTCTCAGCCTTCTGGACCTGTCCGTCTACTTGTCTGCTTCTACCTAGACAGTCACCTAAATGACATCTGAAAGATGAGAGCTGACCAAGAGGAGACCTAAATGTTTGGGGCAAGTCTTAGACAAAGATTAACTACATTCTTTCCTTAGAGCACAGTCTCTTTTTGAAATTCTTTGTGTGTGTGTGTGTGTATGTGTGTGTGTACCTAGTGTGGATACTGAGATCCAAACTCCAGTCCTTAAGACAGATCAGCAGCCGTTCTTAATCGCTGAGCCATTTCCCCAGACTCAAACTCCCAGGTTTAAGCCCTCTGTCTCAGGCTCTCCTAGTAGCTGGGTCCACAGGTGCATAAGCACAATTGTGTTTTCTGGGCACAGTGGTATGGGTGCCTTTAATCCTAGCACTAGGGAGGCAAAGGTAGGTGGATGCCTGGGAGTTCTAGGCCACACTGGTCTACACAGTGAGCTCCAGGACAGCCAGGACTATGTAGAAAATCCCTGTCTCAAAAATAAATTTAAAAACTGTATTTGGATGACATTGGACGTCCTACTCTGTGTCAGTGCCTTAGTCCCTTGAGGCAGGGTCTCACTGAACTTGGAGGTGTGTCAGCCTCAGATCCTCAGTAAGAGTATTGTGAGTGCATAAGTGACCAAGCCAGGCTTTTCACTTGGTTTCCAAGGATTTGAACTCAGGTCCTCATATTTGTAGCAAGTGTTCTTATCTGATGAACCACCTAAACAGTTCCTAAAGAATAGTAATGTGGGGCTGCAGAGATGGCTCAGTGCTGCTCTTATCCAGGTCCTAAGTTCGATTCCCAGAAACCACATGGTGGCTCACAACCATCTATAGTGAGATATTATGCCCTTTTCTGGCATTAAGTTGTTCATGCAGATAGAGCACTCATATACATAAAATAAATAAATGTTTTTTTGAAAAAAGTGCAAGTACAAATGCTGTGTATGTTTTAAAATAGAACAATAATAATGTGAGCTGGTGAGATGGCTCCGTGAGGGGGTTGGGATGGGGAAAGGTGCCTGCTGCATAGGACTGGGGACTGAGCTCAAGCCCCAGAACCTAAGGAAAGGTAAGGAAAGAGAGCAGATTCTACAAATTACCCTCAGATCGCCACCAGACATGCATGTGACACATGCATCCCCACATGCCAAGCACACTCATACACAAATAATAAGTAAACAATTCGTAAGTACATTTGCTAGGGTTTACTTTTCTTGTTTTACATGTAATATCTTTTTTTTGGGGGGGGGGACAGAGTTTTACTATGTAGCCCAGACTGACCTCAAACTCTATAGGTTGTTGAGGCTAACCTTGAACTCCTGATCATCTGGAGGGGGCACCATTCTCAAATGCTGGGATTTCAGGCAAGCACCACTGTGCATAGCCTCTTCTTAATAATTCAGAGTAAGCAAAAAGGTATTTTCAGTTAAGCTCTGGACATGATAAAACAGTAAACAAAGTACATCTGAAGGTTTATTCTTTTCAAAACACAGTTTTAAATTCATCAACAACAGATGGAGTATTTGAAATGCAAACAAAAGTTATTAATTCCCAGCCACAGGCTTTGCCATATCTATTTGCTGTAGTTAACTCAAAACCAGCGCTGTTTCCCAACACTTAAAGGCAAGTTAGGTTAAATCATCTTAACGCAAGCAATACAATCTATGACACACCTTCATAGTGAGGGGACTATAAAAATCCAGCTGCAGTGGTGTAGTGACTCCAAAAAGGATTCAGTCTCACTATAAGAGACTAGATAAAATTAAGCAACAGCTGGGTGGGGTGGTGCATGCCTTTAATATCAACACTTAGAGGCAGAGGCAGGTGGATCTCTAGGAGTATGAGGACAGCCTGGTCTACACACTACATTTGAGGTCAGCCAGATTACACAGTGAGAGCCTGTCTCTCTCCCTATATCCCTATATGTATTTCCCCCTCCTTTTTTTTTTTTTTTTTTTTTTTTTTTTTTTTTGACAAAAGATCTCTCTGCATACTCCTGGCTGTCCTGGATCTCACTATGTTCTGAGAGTAAAGGCATGTCATCATACCCAGTCACCCCTCATATGCCCTCATATGTATTTCAACAATGAAATGTCCCACCCCTTCTTTCTACATGAAAAAGGAGTTAAAAACAACTTATCCTTTCTTTTATATCTTTGGTTGTGAGCCTAGCCTTTAACGGCTGAGCTATCCCTCCATACTTTATAAATGGTACAATAAAACTAGTTTGTGCCAGTGATGAGTAAGTACTCAGGAATATGCTATGAGTCAGAAGAATAATTAATAACCATCTAAAGCCTAGTCATCTAAGTCACGGAGAACAACAACAGCAGGCAGGTGGGCCTCAGACATTCTCATCTGCAGCGACTGATCTGTGGCTTCACAATGAATACATTTTACTGTTTATCAGGAGGAGTCAAAACACTGTCTTCAAACACATTCCTTTCCCTCAGAGCGACAGGTGCCAGCTTACTGGGTAATGGATCCAACACACTCCATGTCGAATGTTGTCTTTGTATTGCCCCTTGAAGATCAGCCTCCCGTCGGTGTCATATTCCTGGGCAGGTCCATTCAGCTCACCATCCACATATGTGCCTTGGAGAACACCTCCATCCTCATAGGTGTAAACACCCTGGCCCTGCAAGGCATCATCCACATAATATCCTTCCAGGGTGCTGCGAGGCAAGGGAGAACAGAAAAGAACAGTCAGATTACACAGCACTATCCATAGTTTGTTCTCTCTCTCTCTCTCTTTCTCTCTCTTCCTCTCTCTCTCTCTCTCTCTCTCTCTCTCTCTCTCTCTCTCTCTCTCTCTCTCATATGTGTGGTGGGTAGAGAATATCTTGTGGGTTTTGGTTCTCTCTTTCCACTGTGTGGGGCACAGGGATCAAACTCAGGTTATCAGGCTTGGTGGCAAACAACTTTACTCTCTGAGCCATCTTAAAATAAAAGATCAGGTCCGAGGACCCACATGCCCAGCTCTGTGTCCACCCTTTCATGTATTCAGGACATGTGGAATTCCCGTGGATGGCTAGGGATGGCATGCAGAGAGGTGAATAATAGTTGGTGATGTCGGCTCATTGGTAGAGCATTTGCCTAGCATGCCCAAGCCCTGGGTTTGAGGAAGACTTAACCTATAATCTCCTAATTCCTGAGAATCTTCTCTCTTTTTTCTTTGCTAAAGGAAAGAGAGAAAAAAGCCCCAGGTTGGGCTGAGAAAAGTCTCAGCTACCCATGTCTCCATGGCCCGGCAGATGTCCAGCTTACACCGGACACTGGCATTTCTGCTGTTACACTCTATTTAACAGTGAGGAGCACTGTGTGTCTTTCTGGGGTTCTTGAGGCCCTCTTAGATGGCTTGTATATGGGGTTCTTCAGTCACACAGTTTAGCTTGTGCAAATGACCATCTTACTTTCAAGTCACTAGTGTTTTATTCTACAGTAGCAATGATAACTGGCATCCAATCAAAACACTCTACTTTGACTCCTTTGGAAGATTGACAAGGATTCATTTTTGTATTATACAGTCATGTGTCCCTTAATGACAGGGACAGGCTCTAAAAAAAAATGTGCTGTTAGATGATTTTGTCATTGTATGAACAACACAAGTATGCACACACAAATCTCAGTGCTATAGCTGGCTTCATACTGATGTTACATGGTAATCTTGCAGGTCTTTTGTGGCATATGTGTGTGGAACTCAGCTGTACACATATGCTCATGTGCACAGTCATGGACATGCAGGCAGGCCTATACCACCCTACATATAACACATATACATAAAATAAACAAATGTAATTTAAAAATTAAAAAAATGAATGTTAGATATTCAGAAACAAAGACAGTTTGATTAACATCCAGCTTTTAGTCACAGATTCAGCCAGTAAACATTTTAAGGTATTTATTCTATATAATGAGCATTATATAGGGCTCTAGCCAGCATAGTGAACGGGCTAACTACAGCCTAACAGTACTGTCTAGTAAGCAGACAGTGCTCAAGAGGCCACACAGGATAGAACACAATACATACTAGGTAGGCAGGGTAAACACATACCTTATATTGGGACAAGCACACACTGTGTACTGGGTTAAATAGGACAAGCACACATCATGTACTGGCTTAGGTAAGATAAGCACACACCATGTTCCCGGGCAGGTAGAATGCAAAGTGAGACACAGGGTTTGAGCAGCCTGTCCCTGACTGCCTAGAGACATCTTGTCTTATGATTGAGAATGATCTGTAATTATTAAATGAAATGCACAGCCTGAACAGTGACAGCTTCTCATTTCATTGTAATTACACTATTTGTGGTCTCCCAAGGAGATAAATAGTTCTCTTTCCCGTTTGTTTGTATTATCGATGACAAATAGGCTTATTAAATTCATGAATGGAATAAAGTATACTTTAACATAGCTTTTGCATAAATAATCAAAACTCTAAGTTCAGTGAAGCTGAATTAATGAGATTCCACTGTCATTAGATTCACACAATTGAAAAAGAGCCCACTTGGAGAAGGATTGCTAATCAACAGACTGGGTGATGTGTGCAGTGCAGAGAAGGGATTCAGTCATCTCTCTTCATTTCTGGGAGGGATACAGCCAGGTGGTGGTGGCACATGCCTTTAATCCTAGAACTTGGGAGGCAAAGGCAGGGGGCCAGAGGCAGGCAGATCTCTGTGAGTTCAAGGCCAGCCTGGTCTACAATGCAAGTTCTAGGACAGCTAGGGCTACTCAGAGAAACCCTGTCTTGAAACCTCCCTGCTCCTCCCCCCACCCCCCACAAAAGATACAGGATGCCCAGTGAAATCTGAATTTTATTTAGACAGGTTATAAACTTCAGCAGGTGCATATCCCAAATATTGAATATAAAATACAAATATAAAAAAGTTTTGTTGTTGTCTGAAGTTTTAATTTAACCAGTGTTCTCAGTCTTTATTTGCTAGTCCCGGTACCCCATTTGACTTTAGATTCCCAGCAGCATTCAGAATGTTTATTTGGGTGTTGTCCCAACAGACAAGTGTGCCGATACCTCAGACTCATGATCAAATCTAAAAGTCACAGGTCTCTCAGACAAGTTTAAAAAAAAAAAAAAAACAAACAAACAAAGACAAAAACAAAAGCCAAAACAAAAAAACAAAAAACAAACCCAAAAAACCAGCCCAGACTTGCACATATTTTGTGAGTGAAGGTTCACGCACGCCAGGGCTGGCACATGGAGTAAGAGAACAACTTTTAGGAAGCAGATCTTCCTTCCACTGTGAGCTCAAACAAGGCAAGTTACCTTTTTGTTTGTTTCGTTTTGTTTTGTTTTTTCCATACAGGGTTTCTCTGTATAGGCCTGGCTGTTCTGAAACTCACTATATAGTCCAGGCTGGCTTCCAACTCACAGAGACCTATCAGCCTCGGAGTGCTGGGACTAAGGGCAGTGCCTCTATACCCAGCCCTTCTGAGTCATCTTATTTTGGTCTCCGTCCCAACCGAGTCATTGCCTGTTCACCTGTAAGCCCATGCTCACTTCCCTCTCAAGAGAAATGGTCATTTTCCTCTTTGCGCAGCTGATTTACTCCACACAGCAGTTTAAGGCAGGATAGTGAAGTGATCTACAGCTCAGCTAAATTCCAGAGCCCTCAGGGCTACTTTTTTAGGGAAGTAAGAAAGATGCTTCTTCTGCAGTAACTTATGAATGATCCAATTGAATGGAAGAAGGAAGGAATGGGTACTTTTTATGTTAGAAATAAGAAGTAATGTGTTTGTTATAACAAACAAAATAAACTAAGTATCACCAAGCTACAGAAAGTATAGATTTTCACTATTCTTGTCCAAAGTATTAGACTGACATTTTTACGTAAGCATTATATATTCCATTCTCCCTCCCCATCCTTCCTCCCCCTCCTACATCTCTTTTTTGTCACAGGGACTCACTGTGTAGCCTAGGTTAGCTTCAAACCCAGGATCCTTCTGGTTTTTTTTTTTTTTGTTTGTTTGTTTTGTTTTTGTTTTTGTTTCCCCCCTTAATGTTGGGATTGCAAGCTTGTAACACCATGCTCTCCTGTTGTTCGTTTTGAGACACCGTCTCATGTATTCATGAACCCACTATAGCTGAGGAGGAGTGTAAACTCTTGATCCTCCTGCCTCTACCTCCCAAGTGCTGGAATTGCAGACATAGGCCACCACTAACAGCCCTTGCTGTTTTAATTTTGTCTTTTTTATGTGTGTGTGTGTGTGTAGAGGCCAGAAGGGTGTCAGATTTCTTGGATCTGGGGTTACAGACAGTTGTGAGCCATGTTATGTGTGTGCTGGGAACTGAACTTGGGTCCTCTGGAAAAGCAGCAAGTGCTCTTAACCATGGAGCCATCTCTCTAGGCCCAGATTTAATGTTCTTAAGCTGTGCTCCCTTTTAACATTTTGGCGGACTCCTCAGGATGATAGTAAGAAATAACAGAAATGGTCATTGGATTGTTTGATTTCTCTGGCAATGACATCTAAGCAAACAACTGGAAAACTTAGGGGAAATGAAAACATCAGTTTAACTACATTTCTTTCTCCTTTTTACTTTATGAGGTGCTAAGTATTCAAAAATAATTAAACCGGAAATATACCTCCAAATCATGGAGAAATTTAGCAGCTGCTCACCCCAGTTGGTGCGCCTGTACTTCATTTAAATACTACTGTATTTTCATCAACAGTCACCTCTCTAGTGTCTGAATTCACGAAGGTAGTTAGGAAGATTGGCTTTTTCTTCATGGTTTGGGGACTGAGAAGTTTCTGTCCTTTTCAACTCATGGGCCTAACCATGGTTCCTTTTCTCTAACGGGTGTGTCCAACCTGTAGTTTGAGGGCTGCATATGGCCTGGGACAGCTATGCATGTGGCCAATGCCAAATCTCAAGGTTGCTTAAAACTTAAGATTTTTGAGGGGGAAGTGATCTTTTTTTTCCCTTGGTAACTCTATTATATTGTGTTTTTCAAGTATGAACTTTTGTAGATGATAACATTGTGTCCAGTATAGAAGGTTGGGCATACCTGCTAGTGTGTCCTCATCAATATAAGTATCCAGAAAGAAACTCAGATTTGATGGGAGATGTCATTCTGTAAATATGTTTCTCTTATTGGTTAATGAATAAAGCACTGTTGGCAAATAGGAAAGCAAGATAGGTGGGACTAGGAGACAAGGAGGATTCGGGAAGAAGTAGGAAGAGATTCAAGATGTAGGACCTACAGGGTAGAAATCCAGATCCTCTTTCCAGATAAGACCACGTGGAGATACTTAGATTGATGAAAATGGGTTAATATTTAAGACAGAGCTAGCCAATAAGAAATGCTAGTAACAGGCCAACAGCTTTATATCTAATACAACGTCTCTGTGTGTTATTTGGGGCTGGTGCAGCTATGGGACCAGGCAGGCAGAAAAATCTACTAGCAATACAGATTCTACTTTAAAGACATATTTGTAACAAATCAAATTGTTTTGTGAGAAAATACTGTTCTAGGAATTATCAAATGTGACTGTATTATTATCTCATATTGCAAGGCAAAGGAGCCCTAACCCATCTGTTAAAGCTACTTCCAGCCAGCACCTTCAGCCTTCCCAGGCGGGATGGACAAGCAGAGGGAAGCACCTCCTGCAATTCCTCTAGCCACATGCTGGGCACATTTGAAGCTGTTCTTGTCTTCACTTTTATCCTTTCACAGAGGATGTGTGAGGCTAGAGAGTCTGATGTTCACAAAGGTTCAGAATAACAGCAATTAGAAAAATTCTTTAAAAGAACACCCTAAAAAAATGTACTGCTTCAGACCGAATGTTTAGGCCCCTGTTAAATCTGTACATTGAAGCCTTATTTCCCAATAGGGTGGTGCTAGGAGGTGGGATGTTGGGGAAGGTATTAGGTTATGAAGTTAGAGCCCTCCTGCGTGCACTTACTGCCCTTATAAAGAGACACAAAGGAACCTTTCTTGCTCTGACTCCCCTCTCCACCCTGTGACAATATAAGCGGTCATCTAAGCCAGGCAGCAGGTCATGGCCAGACACCAGTCTAATAGCTTCTGATCTCAAAGCTCTCAGCCCTCCAGAACCAGGAGAGGTGAACACTACCCAAAGCAGACATCGTCAGAATTGCAATGTGTGACATTGGTTGGTATCTGGTGCTGAATTGCTTGCTTGATGATGGGGGCTGGGAGGGGAGGAGGACCACACCTTTTGGAGTAGTTGATTGTTGTATGAGTGTAGCAACATTAAAGACATTTGACACTTCCAAGTTTTCCCTAACAAGTAGTCTTCTAGGCCATTGTAATCAATTAAGTTTAGAGTAACATCAGGATTGGTCACCATCATCATCCTCCCCTCCTCCCCAGGCACTTGCCAGGTATGCTATGTCTTCCAAGATCTTTATAGCTTTTCTCATTCAAGCATTTATCCTCATCCTACAAATGAGAAAGCAGGAGTTTGGGGAAGCCACTACTAAAGATGACCCTTTAGGAACACCTTCCATCAACCCACTGGGCTCTTAGCAAGTGCTAAAGCACATATAGTAAAGACGCTGGCCAGGTGGTAGTGGCACATGCCTTTAATCTCAACACTGGGTGAGGGATTGTGGGGAGGGGAGACAGAGACAGAGGCATGTGGATCGCTGTGAGTTCAAAGCCAGCCTGGTCTACAGAGCAAGTTCCAGGAGAGCAGAGCTGTTATACAGAGAAACTCTGTGTCAGAAAACAAAACAAAACAAGACACCAAAACCAAACAAACCAAACAAAAAAACCCCAAAACAACAACAAAAAACCCAACCAACCAGACAACTAAGCAAACAAACTAACAAAAATAGTTAAGAAGTTATCTAAAAGAAAATAAATAAAGCAAGGAAAAAAAGGAAGCAGACCCATCACTATTTCCTCACTTCTGGTCAGAATGGAGTGGCAGATGTAGTTTAAAAAAAAAGGGGGGGGGTTTTCTCTAAAAGTGAATTTAGTTAGTGTTTCATTCCTGCAATCTCAAAACTTGGGAGGTAGAGTCAGGAGTGTCAGGAGTTCAAGATCATGGTGCGCTACACAGTAGGTGAAAGACTATCCTGGGCTACATGCGACCCTGTCTGGGGGTCGGAAGAGAAAGCAAATGAAAGAAAGAAAATATAGAAATGAATTCATGTCAACTCGAACTCTTACTAACTAGGGTACTCCCTAGCCTTAGTTTTTTTCATAAATGAAATGGGATTGTAAGCCCAAATGTATTTATTTGCTGAGTTTGGTTCCAACAAAAGCTCAAAGATGGTCAGGAACACCAATAGAATTTTGCGTCACATGAGAGGCTGGAATGCGTGACTTCAAAAGTTCATTTCCACCCCAGCTTCTCTGAAATGTGATCAAGCACCTTGTGACAACCTGGGGAATGTTGTTGTTGGCATCTGCCCTTCAGCCTACAGGGATCCCTCTCAGCAGGACCCAGCAGGACAGGAAACCAGAGTCAGAAAATGACTTTGGGAGACTGATAGCTCAGTCAGTAAACCATTTGCCTTGCAAACATGAGGATGTGCATCAGTCCCTTAGAGTCCACTCAGAAACCAAAGCCAAGTGTGATGGCATGGATTTGGACTCTCTGTCCAGCCTACTTGGTGAGTGTCAAGCCAGAGAGAGACCCTATCTCAAAACAAACACAAAACACATCAAGATGTGGCCTTCCAAATGGTTCATCAGGTAAAGCACTTGCCACCAAGCCGATGACAGCTTTATCTCTGGCACCCACATGGTAGAAAGAGAGACCCAACTTCTGCAAGTTGTCATCTGGCCTCCACACTGTGGCATGGTTAGCCCCTCCCAATAAATAAATTAATGAAATAAAAAACCCATAAAAAATCAAGATTCGTGGCAATGAGGAACAACAATGGGGTTTTTGTCCTCCACACATGTGCACCACAAACATACACACATGTGCATCATGTATACATATATCACACACATACACATATATATACACACACACACACATATATATACACATATATATACACATATCATACACACACACACATACACACACACACACACACACACACACACGAAAATTACTTGAGTACAGAAAACTGAAGGCATGCAGTAGCAAATACTTGAAAACTAGTTGGTATATCCAGGAAAACTTTGACAATAAATATTTACACCTGGGTTCTACGGTACACAATGATGACCCCAGCACTCTAAGGGATGAGGTAAGAGGACAGCAAGTGTGAGGGCAGCCAGATAACTTGAAACAACATTGAAAAAGCAGGAGATAAAGCTTAAAGATCACTTGCCTGGCATCACAAGGCCCTGGGTTCAGTCCCCAATACCAAAGAATAATCATTCATATAATAAATGACCTCACTTTTATCTTGGGCTACAGACAACATGACTCCCTAATATTACCATTCCACAGCCTCAAAGTAGATGCCTCTGGATTTGTTTGCTGCTTCTTTCTCCTCTCCCAGTTCTAGGCTAGTGACAAGTTCTAGCTCTAGGTTTACAAATTTTGTTAACACTGAGAACAGCTAAACTGTACTAAACATCCAGATTAGAAGTTACAGTCAATCAGAGGTACAGATGTCAGAGCATTCTCAGTACCAGAGAAACATTCCCACAGTATCCTCAGGACCATCCACACCTAGTGCCAGGCTCCAGACCACGTGCACCTGATGGGGAGTCTCTGTCCCTTCCTGCCCCCTAACGGTTCAGTTTCCTGTGGCAAACAGGGAGTGAGTACATTTTGGCACACCAGCTCAAATGCTCAGGGTAGCTCATTAATACAATTGTGCACCAGGTCTGTAAAGCCGGTAGGTAAATACCACAAAATACAACCAACTTGATGGACTCTTTTCCCTAAGAGTCAGTCAATTATTGGCTATCTTTATCTAACTATCAAACACAAAATATGAATATGCTTATGTGTGTGAGTGTGTGTGTGTATGTGTGTAGCCATCTGGATAAATCCTAACTTCTTTTCAGCTCCCACATCCACGTGGTAAGGACTTTACTATTATTGTTTTTAAAGTATCAAGTTAAGAGAAAGTATCATAAAGCACAGTAGATGTTATAGACAGAGATTCTGTACTCAGGAAACTCGCCTTAGGTGGGCAGGGGAAATGAGACATTTTAAAAAATATATGTCGTTGAATAATCACAAAAATAATCTCAGAATAAAGTAAAAATTGTCATTTTCCAGTAAAAGAGCTCTGGCTACATCACCATGGAAATGGAGCAGGAGAATTACTTTTCAGACAGAAGGATTCTGAAAGAGAAGGCACTAATGCAAGGCCTTGAAAGAGACCCCTGGGGACCAGGTATCTAGAGGGCATTGTGTGTGTGTGTGTGTGTGTAAGATGTGTGCGTATGTGTGCATATATGATGTGTAGGCCTGTGCACATGAGTATATGTGAGTGTGGTCCATGGAGGTCAGAAGACAACCTTGGGGATCAGCTCTTGCTTTCCAGCTTGTGTGATGTCATTGAGCTATGTTACAGTTTTTGAACTGTGTTTGAAATGAATCAAGATGGAGCCCCCTGAATCTGGCTTGGCAGAACATCACTACACAGACACATGCCAGGTTCAGCATACCTTAGGCTGACTTTTGCACAACCACCACTGTCATTTCTGGTCACCAAAACCTTACATACATGTTGGCGTTACTCTCACTCACCTTTGCATGAGGGGTATACAGACTTTTAATTGAGTTCTTGCATTTGTATCATTCTTTCTTTTGAAATAATTGGACACCCCCCACACACACAGCCTCAAACTAATCAGAATAGAGAGGGTTACCTGCCATCAAAGAAGAAGAACTTCCCACGTCCATTCTTTTCTCCATGCACAAAGTTGCCCTCAAATCTGTCTGTGGAGGAGTAGGTGACAGTACAGAATCCATGTGGTAATCCATCATCATCCAGGTGTCCTGGGGAAGGAGAAGCACAGGCCACACCTTAACACCAGCCTCAGGATGAAATGCTGTCAGCTCAGAACCTCCAAAGGTGCCCCTTCTATGCCCAGAAGAGGGCATCAGATTCCCCTGCATCTGGATGGCTGTGAGCTGCTCAGCATGGGTACTGGGAACTGAACTCAAGTGCTCTTAAATGCTGAGCCCTCACACTAGCCCCTGCTTCTTCTGTGTCTTGAAAGGACTAAGTATGCAGAACTTGATGTTTTGTATACTTCACAAATGAACACATTTGAGAACGTGGAGTCTGTACCAGCTTGCCTTTTCCCTGGGACTGGGATTTATTATCAGTAGGGCCATCTGCAGCACTGGTTACCACTTCCCAGGCTTCCTCATAGTACTTACGTTTGAAGTGAATGTCTCAACTTCTCATCCTAACTGAAACGTGGCTCAGATGGCACTGAGTTATAGTCTTATTGTCACACCCACTACTCTGCAGTTCTTGCATGTTGCAAACATGCAATATGATTTTATATGTTATCCTAGAGTATGCTATTGAGCACTAGTACAGTCTTGATGCACCATTTTATTTTACACTCAGACAACAAGGGAGAGAGCCACCGTGTCTAAAACTGCCCTTAATTCTTCATTACTAAGAGCCCTTCTAAGCTGAACTTAAGCTAACCCTAAGTTCTCTAGTTTACAAACTCACTTCACCTTTGAAAGTTTAATGGTAGCCTTTCATACCCCCTACGTGTCAGAGGACTTATAAGTTGTAAACGGAGATAAGCATGTCCACACTGCCACTAAAAGTGATCTTGGACCCCAGAAACAGTCCCTATGCTCACCTTTTACCAACTGGTGTTCCTGGTTATGGACCACACAGCACACGTCTGGAGTCAGCATCTAGGCATCCAGGTTCTTTGTTACCACTTACCAGGAACCCTCATTAGCATCCCCATCATCTGAGGGAGTAGGTTTGGCAAAGGTGAGTGAAAATGAAGGCAGCAATACCTCCACTGTCTTTTCCCTTGAGTTAACAAGTGGGATCATGGGTGAAAATATTAAATACTGTGCATTGCAGGGACACTAAATATAAAAATGTGACTTCCAGATGGCTCACTGCATAAAAACACAAACCTTGCCACCACAACAAATTGCTTTAATCTCCCAAAACTTTTATCGTAAGATGATAGAGTACCAGGCTAAGTAAGGATAGAACTTAATGGCAAGTGTTTAGATAGTATGCCTGAGAATGCGAATAATCCCAGCACTCAAAACGAAACAACACAACACAACAAAACAAAAACTTAGAAAAAGAAGTTATAAAGAAAGGAACAGCCATAAAGAAATAAAAATGTTCTTTTTCATTATTGACTTCTGAAATGTTTTACAGCTCTACCTGACTCTATATGGAATGAGTTACCTAGAAAATAGTACAACAATACATGTTATTATTTATTTGTTTGTTTATGTTGTTGTGTGTGCCTGGTTCAGTTTATGTGTGCCATACCCATGTAGGAACCAGAAGAGGCCATTGGATCCCCTGGAATTGGGGTTACAGGTGATAAGTGCTGGGAATTTAACTAAGGTCCTCTTCCAAAGCAGGCAGTGCACTTAGCATGAGCTGTCTCTACAGCCCGTTTATGGCTCTGTAAACACACCACAGCCAGCCATATATGGTTATGGAAACACACCAAAGATAGCCATTTATGACTATGGAAACAAATCACAGATTTCTTTAAACACAACATTTCCCTACAAAGGTCAGCAGGGAACTAGTCCAAAATTGCTTTCTTTTGGTAGAAAAACTGAATTATATGATGTAATTCTGACACTAGAGTCAGGAGAAATAATTTGGACAAGTCTTTCTAAATATCTACTGATGACAATCTTCCATTGAAACAGATCAAATTTACTTTTTTCTCTTTTAATAAAAAATACTCAATATAGAGCTAAAAGCTTTCTCTTATGAAACATTGAAATCAATTAAATGTAGCCATTAACATTCCTATGAATGTACTGTCCTATTTTTGATTTAGGTAGAGATATCAGAATAATTAGGTTAGTCTCTCAGGAGAGTAATTGCTGGTGTGTCGAAAATACTACCACAATAGAAAAGGTTCATACACTTCAGATTTTAAACAGCGGTTGTTAATAAAACTGGTTTTCTTCTTGAACTCAAGAGAAACATGATAAACGTGAACACGGAGGGGAAAGAAACCAGTATAATCCTTCCTACTTTGCTTCCTCCCTTGTCCTATTTCTGAACCAAATACTGAAGGTGTGCCACCCTCTACCCTGAACTCAGATGTGAAAGAAAAACGAAAGGCGAAAGGCGCTGTGTAACGGAAAGCAGGCACAGGTCAGTTCTGACTCCAGGTGAGAGGGCACCCAAATCTCACCCCTGCTCCATTTGGACCCCCTTCTGCAACGACCCAATGGGGAAGGAGCCTCTTCCCTGTTTCCTAGAGGACTGCTGAATGACAGCCACCTCTCAGGTGACCTTGTGCATTTACAAGAAGATATGTGGGCCGGTGGCCATTCTTTGCTGGTCTGGCTGTGTATGCAAGTTCTGAAATCTGTCAGACCTCAGCAGGAATTCCATCTTGACTTGTTTTCTTTTGCATCCTTAGGTGCAGGCAAGGAAAAGCACTAGGAACTAGAGAGAGTATTGTAGGTTTCTGGGCAGTGTAAAACTGTGAAGTAGCTACTTCATACATCAGCAAGGCCAACAATCTAGGTATGGTAGGTGAAAGCTTGCATTTTTCCTGCTGGGGATTAGAAGTTCAAGGAGGACCTCAGCACACAGCAAGTTTGAGGCCTGCTTGGGCTGCACAACATTCTGTCTTTAACACAAAACACAACAGAACAGAAGGGAACAGAACAAATAGCCCCAGTCAAAACAACGACAACAAAAAGACTTGCAAAGCAGAAAAAGCCAGGGAACAGATTAGATTGTTACAGTCCTGTTGCTTTGGTACATTAGTGCTGTGAGAGATCTCAGCACAGTTCTTCAAATGCTGCTGGGACAATAATGTTATGTGGTATCATAACCTTAGCAGCTAGCCTATGGGCAGGAGGCTACTATCCAGAGAAGAAAACTATGAAGCTACTGTTTGGGGCAGTCAGGGGCTGGGCTAAATGCTTTCTTGTTACCTAGTTTAAACCTCACAACAGATTACTACACGTTACCACATGAACTGCAAGAGCATACTGATCACTCTAAATGTAAAGCCCCTGCCTCAAACCCACCAGTTCACTTTCTTCCTTGAGAAAGGCAGACAAGATGGGTGTTCCTTCTTGCTGATGGCAGAATGAGGTAGCTCTAAGAGCTGGAGGTACCACACAGCAGTTAAAGGCTTTCTGCTCTATCCCGAGGACAGTGTTCCAGCATCACATTGGGCTGCTCACAAATGCCTGCAAGTCCAGCTGCAGGGATCCCAAACCCTCTCCTGCCCTCTCAGGGCACCAGCATAGGCTGAACAGTAGGGGTAATTCAAAAAAGAAAGTAAAAGAGAAACTGTTTAGGGAGACAAAGGGGCGGGCAGGAGACTAGGGGACAATATATTCAAAGCCTATGAATACATAGGCTTACATAACCCAGTACCAAGTATGATGAAAGAAAATATATATTTTAAACAAATCAATGTTTCAAGTTTTATGAGCATGTAAATGACTATGCACTATTGAGCTAAACCGTGTACTGTGATTTGGTAGCTTCTCATATAACTTCTCAACTTAAAAATTGATCTTTCAGAAAAAACAAAGGAAAACGAAATCACTAGCAATGCCCAGGCTTCTTATAGAGAAGTGCAAGGAGTCTTTGTGGGCTGGCTGCAGAGGATTGCCAAGACTCTCCACATCAGACCCTGCTTGCGAATTCCTAGCTCTTGCCTGTGTTGCCTAACTCAGTGTGGAAACTCTAGTCTTTGCTGAAGATTACAGAATGCGCCGAGTCAGCCAACCACCTTCCAGCCCAGTTCCCACTACACAGAAGGTGGGCACCAGGCCCAAACATCATGCCAAGTTCACTGGAATGACCACTTTGTGCTAATAACACAGCTCCAGCAATCGAGCCACCACAGACAGACTGAATGGTAGCCAGAGAAACGAGAAGTAACATGCCTCATTTTCCCTCATTTTGTTCTAGTTTTCTCTACCAGAAGAACAGAAAGGTAAAAACTTCCCCCAATGCTACCTCTGAGCAGAGTTTTTTATTTTTATTTTTCCTTAACTTGATAAGGTTAGTCTGTTATGATGGGCCCCCGACGCCTCCCGTTTACACAGTAAGATCTGACAGTGTCTATTTCCCTTAGAACAAGAGACCCCAACCTATGCATACTGCTAGTTTTGCTGACAAAACACTGCTCCTCCCCTCCTCCCCCACAGAAGTCATTTAAGAAAAAGCAAGCTTGTTAATGCAAGGAGTGTGCCTTTTTCATGATGTAGTCACAGTGGCTTTGGAAGGCACAGGAGCTCTAATGCCAGCTGCTGAGGGTGGTAGTTTTCATGTGACCCACATGGAATGGGTGCAGTCAGAACACAGCACACTGTCCCAGACACACACAATAGATACATGTAAGAGACAGGCAGGATTGGACAGTTGCTAATAAAAATAATCCGTACTGTTTTGAGGTGATTGGAACAGTAGAACATGGAGCTGCTTGCTTCATCTTGGCTCCTTGCTCCGAGGACTCTGATAATTTCCAGCCTTTTTTTGTGTTTTTCTATCCTCACAACTGCACATCTAATGCCACAAGACCCTCTAGGTGATGGCCTCAGTTTTTGTTTTGGCCCTCCAACTACCTACCACATCAGACAATCAAACTTCCAGCTGAGCAGAGCTCTGGCCTGTCTTCCTTCACTCCACAGCCTCCTTCCAACATACAGCCTAGGCTCTTGGCCTGTGACCCAGCTTCCTTTTCTTATTTGCCCCTTGTGTATCATTTCTTCTTTCCAGCCCCATGTTTCAGCTAGAGTGAAAGTATTTTCTGGATGGGTCAAACAATTCCACACCTCTCTCGTTCACTCACCAAACTTCACTCTCTACCACTGCCTGCCACTTCTCCAGGGAAGTCTTATCCCATCTACTCTGGGCTGTAATTGTGAGCCTCAAGGTGCTCTTGCACATGTGTGTGCATGCATGTGTGCGTGTGTGTCCATGGTTCCTGTAGAGACCTGTTGTTCAATTCCCAGCACCTATATGCTGGTTCACAGATGTCCACAATGCCAGCCCCAGGATGCACATGATACACAGATGTACATGCAAGCAAAACATTCATATACATAAAATAAAATAATAAATCTAAGCAAAAAAATTTTTTTTTGGGGGGGATGCTTTAAAAAGGTAAGAAGATATATGGTGGTTCATGCCATCATTCTGTATTCAGGAATTTGAGGCTGGAGGACTGGGTTACACAAGTGAGTTCCAGGCCAGCCTGGGCTACATAATGAATTCCAGGTTAGCCTGGGCTACAGAATGAGACATTGTTGGGAAAGGAAGGAAAGAGAAGCAAGGAAGGAAGGAAGGACAGTAGGACAATTGACAAAGGAATTTCTCCAGTCTAGCCTGTCTCCCTTGTTTGACAGGTGTTCTTAACGTCTTCTCTAAGTTTCTCTGAAAATTGAGGATAATATAGTACCCACCTCCTAAGACTGGATGGATAATGTCTGAGAAGCACTTAGCACAGACTCTGCACATAATAAGAGCTAAACAATTACAGAGATGATGATAAAAATAGCGTGACAAGGAAACCAGTGAGAAGACAATGTGTATGCAGAGTTGAGTAGCTGGCGTCGAAGCATCAAGACACCCAGACGAGTTTCTATTTAGGAAAGGATCACAGCCGTTTATACCAGTTCAGAAATATGTGTTAGATTTTAAGCAAAGAGTGGTGCAAAGTGCCAAGGCCAACAATATCTGGAGAAAGACCCAAGGATGCAGTTTCCTGCAAGTACACACTTGCTCCAGGCACCCTGAAAATCTCAGCCTGAGATGGGTCAGAGTGTTGGTACCCACTACTGGTGGTTGTGGTTTGCCAATGTGGGTGCCAAGGACCAACTCCAGGTCCTCTGCAAAAGCAAATGAAATGCTGTTAAGCACCAAGGCATCTATCTATCCAGCCCTTTTCTCTATTTTCTTTTCTTTCTTTCTTTCTTTCTTTCTTTCTTTCTTTCTTTCTTTCTTTCTTTTTTTGAGATAGAATGTAACTCTTGGTCCAGGCTCTGCTGGTCTAACCCTGTTAGCTGTCTCCCAGTCTTAAGTTATCTGTTCCCCTCAGCCTTCCAAGTAACTGGAACCACATGAATGCCCCACTATTCCTGATTTTTCTAAGGGCTTTAACATCTTAAAAGTTACTTTTGGGATGGGGTATGTAGCTCAGTGGCATATTGCTTGCCTAACACACAGAGCAAAATAAATAAATGATATTTTGTTGTTGTTCTTTTAAAAATTCAGGTATAACTGCTCACACCTGTAATCCCAGCACTTGGGTAGAGGAATGCTGAAAGTTCCAAGCCAGTGTGGGCTACAGAGATCCTGTTTGAAACAAAACAAAATAAAACCACAAAAAGCAAAACTAAAGTTTCTCTACTTGTTTACTTTTAGGTAAAATTGAATGACTGCCCAAGGCATGCCCGGTTTAAGCCTGCTGTTGTTGCATAATTATTAATGGTGCCTTTGTTGCTCAAATGAACTGATTAATAATAACACTGTCTGCTCATCCTATATAACAAGCCTCCCTGTTTATGGAAAGAAATTTCAGTGCTTCGAATCCACTGGAATAACTCATAATCAACATGGAAACATACTTTTAAAATTACTATTTTGAGACTGGGTCTCAGGCTGGCTTTGAATTTGCTATGCAGCTGTGGATGACCTTGAACTCCAGATCCTCTTGCCTCCATCTCTACATGCAGGGCATACCAATGCTAGGAACACACATAGCAGGGCTCATTTCCAACACAGCAGCACTAGGGAAGGTGGCTCAGTCTGGGGCACTCTGAGATCAATGCTTTGTTTTTCAAATTTTAAGTAAAAACAAAAACAAGTTAAGAGAGAGAGAGAGAGAGAGAGAGAGAGAGAGAGAGAGAGAGAGAGAGAGAGAGAGAGAAGGAAGAGGGTCTGGAGAAAGGCTCAGTAGTTAAGAGCACTGGTTGCTCTTCCAGAGGACCTGGGTTCAATTCCCAGCACCCACATGGCAGCTCATAATTATCTGTAACTCCAGTTCTAGGGGATCCAACACCCTGCAGGCAAAACACCTTAGCACATGAAATAAAAATAAGTTAAAAGACTAAAAATATATTGCTAAAAAAGGGAGGAATGAGAGCAACACTAGCAATTTGTTAAGAACTTCTTTTCCTATGATAACAGAAAGGCAGAAGAAGGCAGTAACTGGAAAGTTAAAGAAGACTTCCTGTGGCTGATTCCTCTGGGCCTTACTAAATCTCAACAATGAGTTTACTTAGAGAAATATAAGCTCTGTGAATTTACAACATTTCTAGTCTCTTCTAAAGTTACAAGCATAACCATGCACTTTAAAATTGTTTTTTAAAAACTAAATGAAGAAATAAGTTTTATAACTTAAATTAGAATGGATGCCTTTCCAAGAATTCAAAAAAATTATTCTACTTCATCTCACTCTAAGTCTCCAGCAGCCTGTAAAGCAGTTATGTCCATGAGGCCATCAAAATGGGATTTCTTCCAATGTAGCACTAACAAATGCATATCCGTATGTATTGTGAAACACGGCCACTTTATTTTTCTTTATCGTTTGTCAGAACCTGTTTATACAAATGAGATCAAAACCAGATTCAACCAGCGACTTAAAATTATTTACTGCGATGCGCCGTTTAAGAAATCCCGGAACAACACTACTCAGTCTTGCAAAACATCACGGGAACATTATCTGGGATAGGGTAAAATAAATGATAAATACTCTAAAGAGTGTTTTACAGTGTTCACTGTTACAAAATCATAACCTCTCAGGACACAAACAACGAGATTGTATAACGTCCCCACCGTATCTTTTAGAAGTTGGGGGCTAAAAAAAAAGAGGCGGAGAAACTCAGCAAAAACATAGTGGCGACAAAAGTCGGGGGAGGGGCGCTCGAGAAGGGGCGGAGAAACCTGACACCCAGGCGGTGATATCACCCTCAGGCAACAGCTCGGAATTCAGAAAGTTAAGTGTCACCCTGCAATTTTATTCCCGGCTCCAGCGTCTGCACCCCGCTCGGAAGCAGGGAGGGGGAGGGAGCGGGTGACTGAGTTCGCCTGGGGGCAGCGCAGACCCGGGTTAGCCGCCTCCGGGTGGCCGGGGGTTCGAGGCCGGTGGGGAGTGCGGTGGGCACTATGAGCAATGATTTCATCTTTTTTTTTCCCGGAGGATTGGCCGGGGCTGCCATGTGCCTGGTGTGCAGCCGGGTACGTTGCGATGGGAGACCCACCTAGACGCGGCCCTGGTGGCCGCGGGATGCAGCGACTCAACCAGGAAAGGGCAGGCGGTCGGAGAGGGGAAGTCGAGGTGGCTGAAACGCAGCTGCTCCTCAGAGATGACCCGCCTCAAGGGACTGCCCTCCGGCGCCCTCCCCTCCTCCATCCCCCTCAAGGACCGAGGCCAAGGTTCTGGGGCAGCTTCGCAACTCCCAGAGAGGATGCTGCTGTGGCCGGTCGAGATGCAGGGGGCGAGCCTTCCTAGGGCCGCGGACCCCGCGGGGCCCCATTCCCCGCCTGTGCCCCGCCGCGCCCCGCGCGCTCCCGGCGGCGTGGCGGTGGCAGTGCAGCCCCCTCCCGACCGGCCACCCGCTTAGGGACCGCGGTGACCACCGGCCCAACCCGGCGCGCGTCGCAGACCTACACTCTTCGCGCCCCAAGCGCCTCCCCCAACCCCCAGGTCCTGGAGAAATGCCGGTCGTACCTTCCACGGCTTCCTCCACCATCTCGTCGTCGCTATCCATGGCGGCTGCGACCCTGCCCAGCAGCGGGCCGTGCGGCCGGTTCCCGTCCCTCCGGGTGCTCGCGGCAGCTGAGAGAGCGCTGGGGCTAAGCCCTGCGAGTTTGGAGGAGGAGGAGGAGTAGGAGGGGGAGGAAGAGGAGGAGCAGTCGGGGCGGATCGTGATGCCTCCCCCTACAGTCCTTTCAATTCCTCGGCCTGCCGCGGCTGCGGCAGCCGCCGTCCCTCCTCCCTTCGTCCCCGGTCCTCGAGACTCCGGGGTGCAGCCGCTGCTGCAACTTTCTCCTGTGATACCCCCTCTTTGTTATGGAGCAGCTGATCCGCTGACATCACCCGGCGCCGGTGCGCTCCCTCCCTCGTTGATTGACAGTTCCCTGTCCTTTCCCAGAAGTGAGGATCTTTAGAACCGAAGGCGCTTCGGGGCCGCGCTGCCTCTGCTAGGCTCTGCTAGGCTGTGGGCAGGCCCGGCGGCGGTTACCTTTTGGCTTGGCGCGCTGCGCGACAGCCACGCGGACCTGGTCGCCGCCGGCTGCTCGATAACCCTGGGGATCGCGGGGTATCCGCCCCGGGGTTGGAGGGGGCTCGGAGCGCAGCTACCGGTGACTTGGAAATGCGCCGCGCAGGGTTTTCCCACTCCTGTCCCCCTCCAGGATAGCTAAAGCTCACGCGGAGCTAAGGAAGCCTTTCTGATGCTCCCGAGCCTCGACTTCCTCTCGCCCTTGCGCTCCCACTTCACCCGACTTGCCACCATCCGGAGCTACAAGGTGCCTGGCACACAGGAGCGCAGGTGCCCCCTACGGCCCAGCGTCGCCTCCATAAGCCAGTTTCCCAGACTCCAGGGAGCGACCTGAGCTCCGGAATCGGCCCCCCGACAATACGTTCCACCCAGGAGTCCTCAGTCTCCACCCTCTTTCGCAACTCCAGGCCCCTGGGAAGATCCAGGAATTCACCAAACGCAGATGGCAGCAGGCTGGTAATCAGGCCTCAACCGAGGCTTGGCAGGTTCCCTCTCGCTCTTGTCTTGGAGATGGAGCCACCAAGTGGAGAAAACAGGAGCCAGGACCCTGTGTCTAGTGCGTCACCTCTCGCCTTCTGTCCTGTATGTGTGATGTCCCTAGATGTCTTTCTGGTTTTCCCAAGAGTCAAACACTTCGCAGATTCTTGCGTCTTTGAGGGAAGAAAACCCGGGTTGCCACCCCAGCCACTTAAGAGTGCCATTATAGCTCTGCCTCTTACAGGTGGCAGTAAAGGACCGCTTTAAATAGCGGGTTAAACGGATGCAGATGTACAGAGTGTACCGTGTACCGTGGAATTACCGGGTGCCGGTCTGGCCTTCTGCCAAGAACAGCTACCGCAGCGGGTGGGAGGGGTGGAGCAGGAAGCGAAGAAAGTTGTTCCATTTGATTTGAACAATGAATGAGCCAGGATTTCAGAGCACTTCCAACGCCCGGGAGAGTCAGCGCCCTCAACTTCTTCCCCTCACTTTTTAAATGTCCCCCCTATTTTTTAAAGATAGGGTCTCCTGTAGCCCATGGCCTCTAACTCACTATGAACAGGAGGATGATCTAGAATTAATAGTCCTGCCTCCACCTCCCCAGAGCAGCAGTAACAAGCATCGGCTAGCATGCTGAGTTTATAGGACACTGAAGAGTCAGCCCAGGTTCCGCCACACTAGCAAGTACTCTACCAACTGAGCTGCATCCTTGGCCATTATATCAGGTTTAACAAACAAACAACAAATGGGCTTGGTGGCGCAGGCCTTTAATCCCAGCAGTGGGTAAGGAAGGCCGAGGCACACAGATCTGAGTCCAAGGCAAGCCTGATCTATACAGCGAGTTCCAGGTCAGTCAGGGGCAGAGAAACCCTGCCTTGAAGGGGAAAAAAAGCATCTGAGAGAAAAATTATAGAGATATTAGCCCCCAAAACTATCAAGAAGTTTAGCTACATGCTGTCTCATTTAGAAAGCAGAGGGTGGTGGAAGATCAGTTAGGGTTAGTGACCCTCAGCTGCCCACATACCAGGGAGGCCGCTCTAGCTCTCACCTGCCGCTGTGCCAGGGAGGCTGCTTTAACAGTATGGGTTCCTCTTACGTCCTGGTCACATCGGGAGAGACTCCTCCGGTTTAGACTCCTTTGGACCTTTAGCTGAGGTTACACCCCTGTAGGGTCCTATGGCTCAGACTACATTGTTCTGATGTCTTCCAGACTGTCGTGATACCTATCTTAGGCTTGACCTCCTTAAGGTCTTCCAGGACAGATACCTGGGCATACAGATACCTGGGCTACACAGAAATCTGTTCCTGCAGTGAAAGTTGAAAAAGCACCTTCAGACTATAATTTAAATTTTAATTAGTTATAAATTAAAATTTAATTTAAAATGACTTTTAAAAAGATTTTATGTGTATGTGACACACATACACACACACACACACACAGAGACACTGTGTGTCTCTGTGAGTAGATGCAGTGTGTATGAGGGTACCTAAGGGGGCCAAAGAACCCAGGATCTGGAGCTACCCACTGTAGTGAGCCCTTGGATATAGGTGCTGGGAACCAAACTTGGGTCTTCTGGAAGATCAGCAAGTACTCCTAATTGCTGAGCCATCTGTGGCCCCATAGTACATCATTTTCCAACTACAAAAACAAAATTTTACTGAGTGTATGTACATATATATGAATGTATGTTCATATGTATGCCTATGCACATGTATGAGTGTGTGGAGCCAGAGGACAACTTCAGATACTCTCTTACTTGCCTGGAACTCACAGAGTAGTCAAGGCCTCAGAAACTCACCGGTTTCTGCCTTCAGAGGAGCTGGGATTACACCCATGCTCCTCTGAATTTGTCTTTATTTGTTTTAAAGCATGCATTCTGGAGTTTGAACATCTCCCCAGTCCTCAGTTCGATACTTTTTTGAAAAGGCATTTATGGCTTCATTCCTTTCAGGTTTTGAGCTTTATGATAGTTCCTCTTATTTTCAGTTTTTAAATATCACCACTTTCCTTATGCATGATGCTGGTGTCCAAAGAATATTAAATACTCATCTCTTTCAGCTACTGGACAGTAAAGATGCTGGAAACTGAAGAAAGAAGCAAAAATAACATAGTTCTTCCTGAGAAAAGAGTAATGTCAGGGCAGGAAACATCTCAGAACTTAAGTGAGACACAGGCTCATGACAGGAGAGTATGTATGGGGGAGGGCTGGCTGAGGGAAGGGTCTGTCACAGTGTTGCTTCTTGTCTTTGGTTTCAGAGGAGAATGTCTTTTTGGAAGAGTGAGCTTTTCCCAGTCTGTTTTCTGAGCAGCCTACCTCTGTCATGGGTCTTCCCTATGCTATTTTGACAGGGTCTGGGACCAGTGCCCACTCCCCCCAGCTTGCAGAAATTTGTCTTTATACCTGGAAGAGATGGGTGGAGAGCAGCCAGAGCCCTTCTGGATTGTTGCAGGACTAGGAGAGAACTCACCACCTCTTCCCACAAGGCAGACTGCTGTCAGGACAGTGCATCTTAGCTCCCTTACCATTTATCTTTCTCTGCTCTAGACCACAAATTTAGGCAAAATGTAAGCTGGTTCCCTTTTTGGGTGTTTGAACCTTTACAAATGGTTTTTGTGCTAAGTCTCTAGCCTGACAGATCTTTATTTGTAGTCCTAGAACCCAACAGAGCATTTGGAACTAAATGTAGGATGTTTGTTCGGTGCTGAATTTTCCTCAGACTTGACCCTCTTCCTGTGATTTGGCCAAGCGCTTTGTTTCAGGACAGGTCTGAAGGGCATCTTTTGCGTTATTCTGCTGGCCCCATCAGTCATGTTCTTTCTTATAGAGCTCTTCATTGAGAGCTCGTTTTGGTGAACTCTCCTTCCATTTGGTTTCCCACCAGCTTCCCCTGTCGTCATCGTCCTCTGTCCCTACCAGTGGGGTTATGAGCTAAAAAACCATCCCCATCCATATGGCCCATCTCTCCAGACTCAGTGTGGGAAACCTAAGTCCCCCCTCCACTGTCAAAAACAATTAAAACAGCCAGCTACTTTGAATCATGTCCCCATCCAGGCTTTCCCCAGAGAACTCAGGATTCATTTCTTTGCAAAAGTGATAGCACTGTCACAGTAAATATAGTTCTGTGATCTTCCTGTATTTAAGGCACTTCCGGTATCCAGGGTAAACAAGCTTGTGGGTTAGCAGCTGTGGATTTGGAGGAAAGAGCCAGCATGGCTTCCCTTGTCTTGGTGGTTAGTGAAGAACCACTCTCACCCTTCCCCAGCAGGTGGGGACAGGAAGACTCCAAGCATCCTTCAGGTCCCGGTGCTCCTGGGAGTGTAGGAGCTTCCAAGGCTTGACACCAGGAGCTCTTTTGAAAACAATTATTTTATCTATGTAAGTGTATGCCTGCTTGTATGTGTGTGCATCAAATGCATGCCTGGTGCCAGTGGAAACCAGAAAAGGGCATTGGATCCCCTGGAACTGGAGTTACAGACTCTTGTGAGCTGCAATCTGGGTTCATTGGAGTCGAACACCGCTCCTTTAGAACAGCCAGTGCCTCCAACCCTAGCCAGCAGCTCTTCCTGCTGCTGTTTTGATTATTATTATTTTTTTTTGTTTTTAATGGCTGATTTGGACCTTGTGATTACAGGTGTGGGGCTACCACCTTATCTAACCCAATGAAGTGAAGGGATTTTTTTTTTAATTTAAATTTTATTTTCTATTTTTTTAAAATTTGTTTTTTGAGACATAGTCTCATGTAACCCATGTTGACCTCAAACTACTGATCCTCTTGCCTTTAACCTGTGAGTGCTGGGTTACAGGTGTGTGCCAGGACCTGGTTTATGCTGTGCTGGAGATAGGACTCGGGCCTAGTTATATCACCACCCAGGAACTTTTTTTTTTTTTTTTTTTTTTTTTTTTTTTTTTTTGAGAGAGAGGGTTTCTTTATATTGCTTTGGAGCCTGTCCTAGAACTCACATTGTAGACCAGGCTGGCCTGGAACTCACAGAGATCTGCCTGCCGCTGCCTCCCAAGTGCTGGGGTTAAAGGTGTGTGCCTCGAACACCACACCGGCAACCTAGGAACTCTTAAGCAGTCAAGTCCCATTTGACTCTGGTTATTAACAAAGTTATTTTCTGGGCTGGGGAGAGGGCTCAATGGTTACAAACCTGTACTGCTCTTCCAGAGGCCCCCAGTTTACTTCTCAACACCCACATCAGGAAGCTTACAATTGCCTGTAACCCGAGGGGATCGGATGTCTTCTTCTGACCCTCATGGGCACACCCCCCTCCCCGCCACGGCATATGATAGATAACACAGACACGCATACATAAATGACAATAAAACAGTGTGACTGAATTTTCTACTTCTGTGTTTTAGTTCAGCTAAGAACTAGCAAGTAGGTGATAAAACACCTTGAACAGAGGTAGATTGGTCCACACCAATTCTCTGTTCAAACCTATTCAGTACAGGTTGGGAGGGCAGGGTGGGGGCTCACGATTAAGCGAAGGAAATCATCAAAGCCAAGCACCATAAGAGAAGAAGGAAAGGGCTGCATACATG